GTGGCTTATGGTAGAGAAATTAACATTCAATTCTGTGGCAACTGCTCTAGTAGACATTCCTGCAGACAGCTTGCCAATTGCATGCTCCCTCCCTCAACTTGAGACATCTTTGGCATTGTGTTTTGTGACGAAACTGCACATTTTCGAGTGCCATTTTATTGTCCCCAGTACAAGGTGCACCTGTGTAAAGATCATGCTGTTTAATTAGCTTATTGATATGCCACACCTGTCAGGTGGATGGATTATCTTAGTGAGCATTTCTCCTTTACTAACAGGGATGTAAACAAATTTGTGCACAAAATTTGAGAGAAAAAACACATGATATCACATATGTAAAGTCACGTGAAATCAAGTGAAAATGTGGTTTTGGAACACTTCCTGTGACATTTCGCGTGGTCCTCTGTAGCTCAGCTGGTAGAGCACGGCGCTTGTAACGCCAAGGTAGTGGGTTCGATCCCCGGGACCACCCATACACAAAAATGTATGCACGCACGACTGTAAGTCGCTTTGGATAAAAGCGTCTGCTAAATGGCATATTATTATTATTATAAAACGTGGTTTTGGAACACTTCACATGTAAAAATGTGGTTTTGGATGTTTGTAAGAGTTTGTTTCACCAGTTGTCAGGACATCATGATGGTCCCAGATGTTCTTACACCATCCCAAACCATTATATGTAAAGTAATGAAATGGTATGGCAGTTTTAAAGTTAGTGGTACACTGTTCAGCTAAAGTATGACCCCAGCTGGCATTTGAACAAAAAAACCTTTGGATTTGAGATGCACTGATCTTTCTGCTGCACCACAAAGTCTGTAACATTCCTATACACATTCATTACCTATAATACATCTCTGCACTTAGCAAAAGAGTTCCATCTGCACTGCTATTTTAGTTATCAATTAATATGACTATTCGCTCATCATTGATTTAATTTACTTATTGCAGCAATTTGAGGATTTTCTGTATAGTTGTCTAATGTTGGTGGGGCATTTTATTCTGTTTTCAATATGATAAATGTAAAAGAAAAACCTCAATGTAGCCTATAGATATAAATTGCACAAGAATTACACATTTATGGATTTCTTTATGCATTGTTTTCTCTTTATTCAACCTGCCCGCAACCCACCCAAATTGCAAGTAGCCTAATGGGGAGTGAGGTATGACAAACCAGCTCATCCACTCAGCCAGGCAAACACAAACAGTATTATTGTTTTTCACACTATACATTATAGTGACAAAGGACACATACAGCGCATTCGGAAAGTATTCAGACCCCTTGACTTTTTCCACATTTTGTTACGTTACAGCCTTATTCTAAAATGGATTGAATAAAACATTTTCCTCATCAATCTACACACAATACCCCATAATGACAAAGCAAAAACAGGTTTTAAAAAATGTTTGCAAAAAAATACAATAAAATGTGGCACAATTTGGGGGATTTTTCATACCTAGCCGAGCTATTAATGCGCAATTAGACTACCCTTTTGTACTTTAATGGAAGGTGTGAAATACTACACAACTTGATTTGTTCCTTTCCGACAGTCTGTCTCTCTCTTCTCTCAGTTTCTAATTCTACTGAGAGAAAATAAGCAAAACTCAAGCTTGATTGTTTGTATATGTACAGTAATAGATAAATATAGCTTCTTTTGAATTGGGGTCAAAATAATTTACATTTCACTGTGATTATGAACAGTAGCCTAAACACTTCTCTCCATCATGTCACTGGACTTGTTGACCATGGTGCACCACTCTTAAAATAATCATTGATTACCTGTACAGTGCCTTCGGAAAGTATTCAGACCCCTTTCCTTTTTCCAAAAATGTTTAGGTTACAGCCTTATTCTAAAATGGATTAAATAGAAAAAACCTCATCAATCTACACACAATACCCCAAAATGACAAAGCAACATTTTTTTTTTGAAATTTGAGAACGTTTATAAAAAATAACCTGAAAAATGACATTTACATAAGTATTCAGACCCTTTACTCAGTACTTTGTTAAAGTACCTTTGTTAAAGTACCTGGCAGCGATTACAGCTTAGAGGCTTCTTGGGTATGACGCTACAAGCTTGGCACACCTGTATTTGGGGAGTTTCTCCCATTCTTATCTGCAGATCCTCTCAATCTCTGTCAGGTTGGATGGGGAGCGTTGCTGCACAGCTATTTTCAGGTCTCTCCAGAGATGTTCGATCGGGTTCAAGATTCCCCAGATTCAAGTCCGGGCTCTGGCTGAGCCACTCAAGGACATTCAGAGTTGTCTTGGCTGTGTGCTTAGGGTCTTTGTTCTGTTGGAAGGTGAACCTTCGCCCCAGTTTGAGGTCCTGAGCAATCTGAAGCAGGTTTTCATCAAGGATCTCTCTGTACTTTGCTCCATTCATCTTTCCCTCGATCCTGACTAGTCTCCCAGTCCCTGCCGCTGAAAAACATGATGCTGCCACCACCATGCTTCATCGTAGGGATGGTGCCAGGTTTCCTCCAGACGTGACGCTTGGCATTCAGGCCAAAGAGTTCAATCTTGGTTTCATCAGACCAGAGAATCTTGTTTCATGGTCTGAGAGTCCTTTAGGTGCCTTTTCACAAACTCCAAGCGGACTGTCATGTGCCTTTTACTGTGGAGTGCCTTCCGTCTGGCCACTCTACCATAAAGGCCAGATTGGTGGAGTGCTGCAAAGATGGTTGTCCTTCTTGAAGGTTCTCCCATCTCCACAGAGGAACTCTGGAGTTCTGTCAGTGACCATCGGGTTCTTGGTCACCCCCCCTGATCAAGGCCCTTCTCCCCCGATTGCTCAGTTTGGCTGGGCGGCCAGCTCTAGGAAGAGTCTTGGTGGTTCCAAACTTCTTCCATTTAAGAATGATGGAGGCCACTGTGTTGTTGGTGACCTTCAATGCTGCAGACATTTTTTGGTACCCTTCCCCAGATCTGTGCATCGACACAATCCTGTCTCGGAGCTCTACGGACAATTCCTTCGACCTCATGCTTTGGTTTCTGCTCTGACATGCACTGTCAACTGTGGGACCTTATATAGACAGTTGTGTGCCTTTTCTCAATCATGTCCAATCAATTGAATTTACCACAGATGGACTCCAATCAAGTTGTAGAAACGTCTCAAAGATGATCAATGGAAACAAGATACACCTGAGCTCAATTTCGAGTCTCATAGCAAAGGGTCTGAATACTTATGTAAATAAGGTTTTCAGTTTATATATATATATATATATATATATATATATATATATATATATATATATATATATATATATATATATATATATATATACACACACATACATTTGCAAACATTTTGAAAAACCTGTTTTCACTTTGTCATTATGGGGTATTGTGTGTAGATTGATGAGGAAAACATTTCATTTAATCTATTTTAGAATAAGGCTGTAACAAAATGTGGAAAAGGTAAAGGGGTCTGAATTCTTTCTGAATGCGCAGTATGCCTCGTCGCATCTTGGAGCTCTACGGACAGTTCCTTGGACTTCATGGTATAGTTTCTGCTCTGACATGCACTGTCAACTGTGGGACCTTATATAAACGGGTGTGTTTCTTTCAAAATCATGTCCAAACATTTGAATTGGCCAAAGGTGGACTCCAATCAAGTTGTAGTGACATCTCAAGGATGATCAAAGGAAATTGGATGCACCTGAGCTCAATTTGGAGTGTACTGAACAAGACACATTTGTACAGTAGGAAGTTTTTGTTGCTTTTCTTGCCCATGTATAGTCATTGCCATTGTACTGTATGTATCCTGCCCAGTTCTTAATTCACAATTGGAAGATTATAGTATTTGATAGCCTAATAATATACAATAAAATATATAGTTCAATTTAAATTATGAAGTGTATTCACAATTGCATGGCATGATGACCTCTGATCAGCTTCAAATGCCCTGATTACTAAATGGAGTAGATGTGCTCCAACATGCCCTCTGGTGGTTTGGACAAGCATTAATGGCAAGCACTGTAACGCACAGTAACAAACCGTACCATGATGCAACTTTTAATTGAAGAACCACTGAGTGTACAAAACATTAGGAACACAGACTGAACAGGTGAAAGCTGACCAGGTGAATCCCTTATTGATGTCACCTGTTTAAATCTACTTCAATCAGTGTAGATGAAGGGGAGGAGACAGGTTAAAAAATGATATTTAAGTCTTGAGACATGTATTGAGTATGTTTGCCATTCAGAAGAATGAAGTACCTTTGAACGGTGTATGGTAGTAGGTGCCAGGTGCACCGGTTTGAGTGTGTCAAGAACTGCAATGCTGCTGGGTTTTTCATGCTCAACAGTTTCCCATGTGTATCAAGAATGGTCCACCACCCAAAGGACATCCAGCCAAATTGACACAACCGTGGGAAGCATTGGAGTCAACATGGGCCAGCATCCCTGTGGTACGCTTTTGACACCTTGTAGAGTCCATTCCCCGACAAATTGAGGCTGTTCTGATGGCAAAAGGTGGTGCAACTCAATATTAAGAAGTTGTTCCTAATGTTTTGTACACTCAGTGTATACCTGTATGCAACCTTACCTCTGAGAGTGGGCGGAGGACGTGTGGGTTTGATCAAGTTACTCTGAGAGAGAGCGTCCACCATCCAGGACAGGGCACTAGAACAGTACTCCAACTGGGAACAAGAGAAGGGATGGGGGAGAGGGAGAGAAGTTATTTTCCCTAACCCTAAATCTAAAACTATACCTAACCCTAACCTTAATTCTAACCCTAACCCCTAAGCCTAAAATAGCATTTTTCCTTGTGGGGACCAGCAAAATGTCCCCACTTTGAATGTTCCTTGTTTTACTATCCTTGTGAGGACTTCTGGTACCCACAAGGATAGTTCAACCAAAACACACGGGAGGATGGTGACCAGAGATTTCGACCGAGGTGGCGGACCTAGAAGCACAGGTGGCATGGGGTAAGGACTCAATAGCTCCGCTCCTCCACACACACACAAAGCCACAGACCGCTGAAACTCAGTGCCACTGGGCAGATAAAGCAGTATGTGTGTGTGCTGCGACCAGTGGGAGCGGCCCAGGCTGACACTGACCTTGGTCTCCAGCATTCTCAGCCTGCGGTCGTGGTCCCGGATCTCTGCCATCTGCTTTAAGACACTGTCCATCCTTCAGACACGACCACAACACAGGACCACAAGACAGGTTAGGGGTCAATTCAGGAAGTGAATTGAAGTCCTATTCATGAAAAGAAAATTGAATTGAACCAATCTCTAACACAGGAGGACCAATCTCTTTGGATAATTGTTCAGAAGAATGTGGTACATTTTCACAACACTTAGTACAAACCTCAAAACAGATCATCAAAAAGGCATTTGTTTCAAAACTAAGCCCATTTTCAATTGACGAAGTACAACACACAAAATCAGTCACTTTTTCACCAAACTTAGTCAGTGTTTCATCTAAAAATACACATTGCAATACATGTTCATATAAAGTCATTGCTTTTCACAATGCAATGGTCACATTACTTTTGATATGATTGTGTTCTCATTTGTTAAAATACATTTGACTATTACTTCATCTGACTGCTGTTATTTTATAATCACTTTAACCATTTGGTGAACCTATAGATTTTAAACTGGTTTGTCTACAGATTTTGAGAACTACATAATGAAAATATATCTTTGTAAAGTATAAGCATGATACTGTAATGTACTATTATGATGATGACTTCAAAAATCTGGTATTGACACATTTTTGTACTATATATGTATGACATCACATACTCTTTTGGCCAGACAGCATTAGATACAGTGGGGAAAAAAAGTATTTAGTCAGCCACCAATTGTGCAAGTTCTCCCACTTAAAAAGATGAGAGAGGCCTGTAATTTTCATCATAGGTACACGTCAACTATGACAGACAAATTGAGGAAAAAAAATCCAGAGAATCACATTGTAGGATTTTTTATGAATTTATTTGCAAATTATGGTGGAAAATAAGTATTTGGTCACCTACAAACAAGCAAGATTTCTGGCTCTCACAGACCTGTAACTTCTTCTTTAAGAGGCTCCTCTGTCCTCCACTCGTTACCTGTATTAATGGCACCTGTTTGAACTTGTTATCAGTATAAAAGACACCTGTCCACAACCTCAAACAGTCACACTACAAACTCCACTATGGCCAAGACCAAAGAGCTGTCAAAGGACACCAGAAACAAAATTGTAGACCTGCACCAGGCTGGGAAGACTGAATCTGCAATAGGTAAGCAGCTTGGTTTGAAGAAATCAACTGTGGGAGCAATTATTAGGAAATGGAAGACATACAAGACCACTGATAATCTCCCTCGATCTGGGGCTCCACGCAAGATCTCACCCTGTGGGGTCAAAATGATCACAAGAACGGTGAGCAAAAATCCCGAACCACACAGGGGGACCTAGTGAATGACCTGCAGAGAGCTGGGACCAAAGTAACAAAGCCTACCATCAGTAACACACTACGCCGCCAGGGACTAAAATCCTGCAGTGCCAGACGTGTCCCCCTGCTTAAGCCAGTACATGTCCAGGCCCGTCTGAAGTTTGCTAGAGTGCATTTGGATGATCCAGAAGAGGATTGGGAGAATGTCATATGAAACCAAAATATAACTTTTTGGTAAAAACTCAACTCGTCGTGTTTGGAGGACAAAGAATGCTGAGTTGCATCCAAAGAACACCATACCTACTGTGAAGCATGGGGGTGGAAACATCATGCTTTGTGGCTGTTTTTCTGAAAATGGACCAGGACGACTGATCCGTGTAAAGGAAAGAATGAATGGGGCCATGTATCGTGAGATTTTGAGTGAAAACCTCCTTCCATCAGCAAGGGCATTGAAGATGAAACGTGGCTGGGTCTTTCAGCATGACAATGATCCCAAACACACCGCCCGGGCAACGAAGGAGTGGCTTCGTAAGAAGCATTTCAAGGTCCTGGAGTGGCCTAGCCAGTCTCCAGATCTCAACCCCATAGAAAATCTTTGGAGGGAGTTGAAAGTCCGTATTGCCCAGCGACAGCCCCAAAACATCACTGCTCTAGAGGAGATCTGCATGGAGGAATGGGCCAAAATACCAGCAACAGTGTGTGAAAACCTTGTGAAGACTTACAGAAAACGTTTGACCTGTGTCATTGCCAACAAAGGGTATATAACAAAGTATTGAGAAACTTTTGTTATTGACCAAATACTTATTTTCCACCATAATTTGCAAATAAATTCATAATAAATCCTACAATGTGATTTTCTGGATTTTTTTTAATCATTTTGTCTGTCATAGTTGACGTGTACCTATGATGAAAATTACAGGCCTCTCTCATCTTTTTAAGTGGGAGAACTTGCACAATTGGTGGTTGACTAAATACTTTTTTTCCCCACTGTACATGGGCTACACATACAGTGGGGAGAACAAGTATTTGATACACTGCCGATTTTGCAGGTTTTCCTACTTACAAAGCATGTAGAGGTCTGTAATTTTTATCATAGGTACACTTCAACTGTGAGAGACGGAATCTAAAACAAAAATCCAGAAAATCACATTGTATGATTTTTAAGTAATTAATTTGCATTTTATTGCATGACATAAGTATTTGATCACCTACCAACCAGTAAGAATTCCGGCTCTCACAGACCTGTTCATTTTTCTTTAAGAAGCCCTCCTGTTCTCCACTCATTACCTGTATTAACTGCACCTGTTTGAACTCGTTACCTGTACACAAGACACCTGTCCACACACTCAATCAAACAGACTCCAACCTCTCCACAATGGCCAAGACCAGAGAGCTGTGTAAGGACATCAGGGATACAATTGTAGACCTGCACAAGGCTGGGATGGGCTACAGGACAATAGGCAAGCAGCTTGGTGAGAAGGCAACAACTGTTGGCGCAATTATAAGAAAATGGAAGAAGTTCAAGATGACGGTCAATCAACCTCGGTCTGGGGCTCCATGCAAGATCTCACCTCGTGGGGCATCAATGATCATGAGGAAGGTGAGGGATCAGCCCAGAACTACACGGCAGGACCTGGTCAATGACCTGAAGAGAGCTGGGACCACAGTCTCAAAGAAAACCATTAGTAACACACTACGACGTCATGGATTAAAATCCTGCAGCGCACGCAAGGTCCCCCTGCTCAAGCCAGCGCATGTCCAGGCCCGTCTGAAGTTTGCCAATTACCATCTGGATGATCCAGAGGAGGAATGGGAGAAGGTCATGTGGTCTGATGAGACAAAAATAGAGCTTTTTGGTCTAAACTCCACTCGCCGTGTTTGGAGGAAGAAGAAGGATGAGTACAACCCCAAGAACACCATCCCAACCGTGAAGCATGGAGGTGGAAACATCATTCTTTGGGGATGCTTTTCTGCAAAGGGGACAGGACGACTGCACCGTATTGAGGGGAGGATGGATGGGGCCATGTATCGCGAGATCTTGGCCAACAACCTCCTTCCCTCAGTAAGAGCATTGAAGATGGGTCGTGGCTGGGTCTTCCAGCATGACAACGACCCAAAACACACAGCTAGGGCAACTAAGGAGTGGCTCCGTAAGAAGCATCTCAAGGTCCTGGAGTGGCCTAGCCAGTCTCCAGACTTGAACCCATTAGAAAATCTTTGGAGGGAGCTGAAAGTCCGTATTGCTCAGCGACAGCCCCGAAACCTGAAGGATCTGGAGAAGGTCTGTATGGAGGAGTGTGCCAAAATCCCTGCTGCAGTGTATGCAAACCTGGTCAAGACCTACAGGAAACGTATGATCTCTGTAATTGCAAACAAAGGTTTCTGTCCCAAATATTAAGTTCTGCTTTTCTGATGTATCAAATACTTATGTCATGCAATAAAATGCAAATGAATTACTTAAAAATCATACAATGTGATTTTCTGGATTTTTGTTTTAGATTCCGTCTCTCACAGTTGAAGTGTACCTATGATCAAAATGACAGACCTCTACATGCTTTGTAAGTAGGAAAACCTGCAAAATCGGCAGTGTATCAAATACTTGTTCTCCCCACTGTACATGTCATCTGCCTCAGCCTCGACGACGATGGCAGTCTTATCAGCAGCACCTGTCTTTTTACTAAAGAAATGTGTTTTCTTTATTTCAATTTTCTCTGCCCTGCTCTGAAAGCTCTTCATTGCTGCAGCTTAATTTCAATGAAAGTCACATTTGTGATCTGTTAGGGTGGAATAGTCCGTGGTTAATTAATGACACTTATCTCTACTATTATGAGGAAAAACGTGGATTATATTAATATTGCTATAAAATATATGTACATAAATTATTGTAAATTATTGATCCATCATTAATTATTATTTGGCTGTATGGATTAATTTACTTTTTTGGAGGCCTTTTTTGTCAACAATGGCCAGAAAAAAAAAAACCTTCCTCCCCATTTCCTTTGCAGATTTTGCTGCTGCTGAACCAGCCTGCTGAAGCAAGACTGAATGAGAGCGATGAGCTGAGCGACAGCAGGTTGTTTGTCGGAGGGGGTTGGGGGGCCTCATGTGGAGCATGGGGGGGCCTCAAGCGGATAAATTACTATTTGTTTTTAAAGATTACGAGTATTGTTTTATTTTATTATGCCCAGCTCACGAGGCCTCTTGATGATGTGAGGCCTGTTCTGCTTAATGGTAAGTCCGCCACTGAAAGTGACAACAGTTAAGTCCACACATTTTGTATGTGTCCCCAATCAAACCCACTGTGGTACTCTGATGTAGCTATAGCTAGCTAGCCATGCTCTTACTAATTGAGCCATACAGGACCACTACAATTCATAAGTACGACACAATACTGTTAAATACAATACATGATTACAATACAGGTGGAGGGTGTATGATTGCCATCCCCATCTATGTCAGGCTTGGATTCGCCATGCCAAAATATTTTTCCCCTGGTGCATGAACAATGAGGACATTTTACTGTGATGTCAATAAGAACCTATGGCCAAATGCTCAAGACAGGCTTGATCCAAACTAGTGCCTTTCTTTCATTCATTGCATTTGTTTAATTTGATTACAGTACACCTATAGTGTAATTATATATGAACAATAAATAAAATTTTGCATCAATGACTGTGAAAGATGTCTTCGATGATCACACCTTTGACCACACATGGGAGATAAATTATGGAAATTAGATTTGAAGTTTTGATGGGTAGTGTAAGTGTATTGCGTAATGTGAAAACAGTGTAATGTACTGTAATTTACAGTACTGTAGCATACTACATTCAAAAGGCAATTTTGAAACATTGGATTAACTGGTTAGATATCATTATGATGTGTTTTGGTGTTTAAATCAATGTTCTCATGGTATTTCACAGTAAACTTGTATTTTGGATTAATGGTTGAGTGGTGAAAGATCTTTCCAAACAAAATTAATGCACAAATAAAGGTTTTAAATATAAGACTTTCTGCATTACAAGTGTTACCAGTTTGGACCGTTGTACTAAGAGTTTAGAAAATTCACCACATACTTGTGAAAATAGCACCAACGCAATTGGGGGAAAAAACTGACTAAAGCTGTTAAATTAATCTGGCATTTAGTCTATGACATAAATAAGTGGCCGAGGGAGAGAGCTGGAGAGATGTCTCACTTGACGGAGGTATGTTTGAGTCTCTCTGAGTCGCTCTCTCTCTCTCGTTTGTTCTGGGCAGACAGTATATTCTCCTTCTGGATGGCCTCCCACATGTTCAGTTTCCTGGCCTGCTTACCACGTATCTCAAGAACTGAAGGAGAGATAGAGGAGAGGAAAAGGGAGGGATTTGGAAGAAGATAAAATTATAAAAAAATATTCAGCTATTCAGATAATTTTAGACGACAATGGGAGTGGACTTCTAAAACACTAGTAATTTATCAACTGTGAGCATTTTCATTTCACAATACATCACATCTCTAGTGGCTCTCCTCGTCTCCCTCCCTCTCTCACCAAAGTGTTTGATCTTTGTGGAGGGGATCTTGCGGATTTGTCTCTTGATGAAGAGGTGGAGGTGGGAGATGATGATGAAGGGTGGTGCCAGACAGGGTTTGGAATGGTACTCCATGATCAGATTGTAGCGCTGGAACTTCCAGTAGGTGTCGCTGTGCTCCTGCACTTTGGAGAACGTATGACTGCAGTGAGGAGAGCGAGAGAGCCAGCCATAGTGAAATGTTACCAGCCAGAACATCAGGGAATGCAGCACATTTGGAAAGTATTCAGACCCCTTGACTTTTTCCACATTTTGAAACGTTACAGCCTTATTCTAAAATTGTTTTTTTGTCCTCATCAATCTACACACAATACCCAATAATGACAAAGCAAAAACAGGTTTCTAGACATTTTTGCTAATTTATAAAAAAAAAAAAACTTAAATATCACATTTACATCAGTATTCAGACCCTTTACTCAGTACTTTGTTGAAGCACCTTTGGCAGCGATTACAGCCTTGAGTCTTCTTGGGTGTGATGCTACAAGCTTGGCACACCTGTATTTGGGGAGTTTCTCCCATTCTTCTCTGCAGATCCTCTCAAGCTATATCAGGTTGGATGGGAAGCGTTGCTGCACAAATATTTTCAGGTCACTCTAGAGATGTTCAAATCGGGTTCAAGTCCGGGCTCTGGCTGGGCCACTCAAGGACATCCAGAGACTTGTCCTGCATTGTCTTGGCTGTGTGCTTAGGGTCGTTGTCCTGTTGGAAGGTGAACCTTCGCCCCAGTTTGAAAACCTGCTCCAGAGCGCTCAGGACTTCATCAAGGATCTCTCTGTACTTTGCTCTTTGTTTATCTTTGCCTCGATCCTGACTATTCTCCCAGTCCCTGCCGCTGAAAAATATCCCCACAGCATGATGCTGCCACCACCATGCTTCATCGTAGGGATGGTGCCAGGTTTCCTCCAGACGTGACGCTTGCCATTCAGGCCAAAGAGTTCAATCTTGGTTTCAACAGACCAGAGAATCTTGTTTCTCATGGTCTGAGAGTCTTTAGGGGCCTTTTGGCAAACTCCAAGCGGGCTGTCACGTGCCTTTTACTGAGGAGCGGCTTCCATCTGGCCACTATACCATAAAGGCCTGATTTGGTGGAGTGCTGCAGAGATGGTTGTCCTTCTGGAAGGTTCTCCCATCTCCACAGAGGAACTCTAAAGCTCTGTCAGAGTGACCATCGGGTTCTTGGTCACCTCCCTGACAAAGACCCTTCTCCCCCAATTGCTCAGTTTGGCCGAGCGGCCAGCTCTAGGAAGAGTCTTTGTGGTTTCAAACTTCTTCCACTTAAGAATGGTGGAGGCCACTGTGTTTTGGGGGTACTTCAATGCTGTATAACCCTTCCCTAGATCTGTGCCTCGACACAATCCTGTCTCGGAGCTCTATGGACAATTCCTTTGACCTCTTGGCTTGGTTTTTGCTCTGACATGCACTGTCAACGGTGGGACCTTATATAGACAGGTGTGTGCCTTTGAAAATCATGTCCAATCAATTTAATTTACTACAGGTGCAATCAAGTTGTAGAAACATCAAGGATGCTCAATGGAAACAGGATGCAGCTGAGCTCAATTTCGAGTCTCATAGCAAAGGGTCTGAATACTTATGTAAATAAGGTATGTTTTTTATTTTTAATACATTTGCAAAAATTCCTAAAAACCTGTTTTTGCTTTGTCATTATGGGGTATTGTGTGTAGATTGCTGAGGATTTTAGAATAAGGCTGTAACGTAACAAAATGTGGAAAAAGTCAATGGGTCTGAATACTTTCCGAATGCACTGTAGGTGACACTCGCTCATATAAAATGTTTTGGTTTTATTATACTTTTTGGTTAATGACGTTATCGTCCCAAATGTCGCATATGAAAGCCGAGCCAGAAAAACATTTGGCATTTTGATAACACTCAAACACGCAATGCTAGTGTCAAATAGTTAATTCGATTTAATTTAATTCAATCAACTATCAGTGGTTCTGAGAGAATAAACAACACTATTCAAGACACAGTGAGGAACTAGATCAGAGGAATTCAGCCCACCGATTAGAGGGGCCTATTGAATGCGGGATGATCTGTTGAGGGGAACACAAAGAGAGTGACACAGGGATATGGAGGGGGGTGCTAGATGGGAAAGAGGCACAGAGAGTGAAAGAGGGAACGATAGGGTGAAAGAGGGACAGAGAGAAAGAAGAACAGAGAGGGTGAAAGAGGGACAGAGCGAGAAGGTACGTTACCTGAACATGGCGATGAGCAGATTGACCAGGAGGATGTTGGTGACCAGCAGGTAAATGACCAGTAGGATGACCACCAGCCAGTTGGCGTAGGTACTTATGCAGGGCTCTGCCCCCGCCTCAATCAGGGTGGCGTTATTGGTGCACTCTCTCCCCTCCTCCAGTTTATCAGCTACGGACAGAGAGACAGGGAGAGAAGAGGGGATGGAGAGAGGAGAGGGAGGGAGACGGTGAGAGGGTTTGAAATATACTGAACAAAAATATAAACGGAACATGCAACAATTTCAACGATTTTACTGAGTTACAGTTCATATAAGGAAATCAGTCAATTGAAATGAATGCATTAGGCCCTAATCTATGGATTTCAGATGACTGGGCAACCATGGGGGGGGGGCCTGGGAGGGCATAGGCCCACCCACTTGGGAGACTGGCCCACCCACTAGGGAGCCAGGCCCAGCCAATCAGAAAAATGGCTTTATTACAGACAGAAACACTCCTCAGTTTCATCAGCTGCCGGGTGGCTGGTCTCAGACGATTCCGCAGGTGAAGAAGCCGGATGTGGAGGTCCTGGGCTGGCATGGTTACACGTGGTCTGCGGTTGTGAGGCTGGTTGGACGTACTGCCAAATTCTCAAAAACAACGTTGGAGGCGGCTTATGGTAGAGAAATGAACATTCAATTCTCTGGCAACAGCTCTGGTAGATTTTCCTGCAGTCAGCATGCCAATTGCATGCTCCCTCAAAACTTGAGACATTTGTGGCATTGTGTTGTGTGACAAAACTGCACATTTTAGAGTGGCCTTTTATTGTCCCCAGCACAAGTTGCACCTGTGTAATGATCATGCCGTTTAATCAGCTTCTTGATATGCCACACCTGTCAGGTGGATGGATTATCTTGGCAAAGGAGAAATGTTCACTAACAGGGATGTAAACAAATTTGTGGAAAAAATGGAGAGAAATAAGCATATGGAACATTTCTGGGATCTTATAATTCAACTCATGAAACAATGGACCAACACTTTACATGTTGTGTTTATATTTTTGCTCAGTATAGATGGGAACAACCAGGGAGAGGGATGTGAAGAAAAAAAGTCAACAATTGAAATGATAAGGTAAAGAGGGTAGATTGGCCAGCGTTTAGGATAAGAGATTAGGAGGGGATACTGAGGGAGAGGGCTGAAAGAACAGAGAAAGAGAGAGCACAGTTATATACTATTGCTGTAGGTTTCAAGTACACACAGAGACACACACAAACATTCACATGAAAAACCACATTCGTACACAAACATTGACGCACCATCCATTTCGTGTATGGGGATCTGTCCAAATATGTGCAGGTATGGCCTGTAGAACACTCTGCGAAAGATCCAATTGGGACGGGGGTCATAGGAGTAGAGCAGCACCTGATTGGCTACACCATAAGCCATGAGCCACACCGCCAGGAAGAAGAGGAAGAAGAAGATGTCCTTCATCTACCAACCAGGAAGAGGAACAGATGATTAGGAAATGTATCGCTAAAGCTGAAATAACTCTAAAGGACGTTTGTACAGACCTACATGATGTCGACTCATAGACTTTAACACAGACTCTCCATTTAAAATACTTGAACAGGAGTAGATATCGTCAGTGGTTAGCTTACCTTACCACACAACACAAGTGTGTTTATATACACACTGTACAAAACATTATGAACACCTGCTCTTTCCATGACATAGACTATCCAGGTGAAAGCTATGATCCCTCATTGATGTCACCTTTTAAATCCACTTAAATCAGTGTAGATGAAGGGGAGGAGACAGGTTAAAGAAGGATCTTTAAGCCTTGAGACAATTGACACATGGATTGTGTATGTGTGCCATTCAGAGGGTGAATGGGCAAGACAAAAGATTGAAGTGCCTTTGAACAGGGTATGGTAGTAGGTGCCAGGTGCACCGGTTTGTGTCAAGAACTGCAACGCTGCTGGGTTTTTCACTCTCAACAGTTTCCCGTGTGTATCAAGAATGGTCCACCACCCAAAGGACATCCAGCCAACTTGATACAACTGTGGGAAGCATTGGAGTCAACATGGGCCAGCATCCATGTGGAACGCTTTCGACACCTTGTAAAGTCCATGCCCCGACGAATTGAGGCTGGTCTGATGGAAAAGGGGAGGGGAGGGTGCAACTCGATATTAGGGAGGTATTCTTAATGTTTTGTACAGTCAGTATAGATAGCATTTGAAATGTTGAAATGTTTACACAATCTTCATTACAAGTTAACATCACACAATCATCTTTCAGTCGACAAAGACCATCACACATAGTTTTAAAATATCACTTACCATGTTGCCGACGATGATGATCTTGGGTCCCAGCTGTTTGTGGATGGCGAAGATGTGGATGAGACGGAGGGTAAACACCATGTAGTCCACAGCCAACACAGCACGGCCAAACTCATAGGACCACGGGAACATTCTAGAACACACAACAAACGCCTGGCTATAGTCACAGGGACACACACACACACTCACAAAGATACACACACTCATAAACAGTCAGTGGTCAGTTTATGGAAATATTGATCACTCCTACAGACAGTGACTCACGTGGCCGTGGCTGCTATATAAAGCAGGCAGACAGGCATCGAGGCATTCAGTTACTGTTCGATTGAACATTAGTATGGGGAAACTAGTCACATACAGTGGGGGAAAAAAGGATTTAGTCAGCCACCAATTGTGCAAGTTCTCCCACTTAAAAAGATGAGAGAGGCCTGTAATTTTCATCATAGGTACACGTCAACTATGACAGACAAATTGAGAATTTTTTTCTCCAGAAAATCACTTTGTAGGATTTTTAATGAATTTATTTGCAAATTATGGTGGAAAATAAGTATTTGGTCACCTACAAACAAGCAAGATTTCTAGCTCTCACAGACCTGTAACTTCTTCTTTAAGAGGCTCCTCTGTCCTCCACTCGTTACCTGTATTAATGGCACCTGTTTGAACTTGTTATCAGTATAAAAGACACCTGTCCACAACCTCAAACAGTCACACTACAAACTCCACTATGGCCAAGACCAAAGAGCTGTCAAAGGACACCAGAAACAAAATTGTAGACCTGCACCAGGCTGGGAAGACTGAATCTGCAATAGGTAAGCAGCCTTGTTTGAAGAAATCAACTGTGGGAGCAATTATTAGGAAATGGAAGACATACAAGACCACTGATAATCTCCCTTGATCTGGGGCTCCACGCAAGATCTCACCCCGTGGGGTCAAAATGATCACAAGAACGGTGAGCAAAAATCCCAGAACCACACGGGGGGACCTAGTGAATGACCTGCAGAGAGCTGGGACCAAAGTAACAAAGCCTACCATCAGAAACACAGAAACACACTACGCCGCCAGGGACTCAAATCCTGCAGTGCCAGACGTGTCCCCCTGCTTAAGCCAGTACATGTCCAGGCCCGTCTGAAGTTTGCTAGAGTGCATTTGGATGATCCAGAAGAGGATTGGGAGAATGTCATATGGTCAGATGATACCAAAATATAACTTTTTGGTAAAAACTCAACTCGTCGTGTTTGGAGGACAAAGAATGCTGAGTTGCATCCAAAGAACACCATACCTACTGTGAAGCATGGGGGAGGAAACATCATGCTTTGGGGCTGTTTTTCTGCAAAGGGACCAGGACGACTGATCCGTGTAAAGGAAAGAATGAATGGGGCCATGTATCGTGAGATTTTGAGTGAAAACCTCCTTCCATCAGCAAGGGCATTGAAGATGAAACGTGGCTGGGTCTTTCAGCATGACAATGATCCCAAACACACCGCCCGGGCAACGAAGGAGTGGCTTCGTAAGAAGCATTTACATTTACATTTTAGTCATTTAGCAGACGCTCTTATCCAGAGCGACTTACAGTTAGTGAATACATATTTTTTTTTTTTTATACTGGCCCCCCGTGGGAAACGAACCCACAACCCTGGCGTTGCAAACGCCATGCTCTATCAACTGAGCTACATCCCTGCCGGCCATTCCCTCCCCTACCCTGGACGACGCTGGGCCAATTGTGCGCCGCCCATGAATCTCCTGGTCGCGGCCGGCTGCGACAGAGCCTGGATTCGAACCAGGATCTAGTGGCACAGTTAGCACTGCGATGCAGTGCCTTAGACCACTGCGCCACTCAGGAGTCCTGGAGTGGCCTAGCCAGTCTCCAGATCTCAACCCCATAGAAAATCTTTGGAGGGAGTTGAAAGTCTGTGTTGCCCAGCAACAGCCCCAAAACATCACTGCTCTAGAGGAGATCTGCATGGAGGAATGGGCCAAAATACCAGCAACAGTGTGTGAAAACCTTGTGAAGACTTACAGAAAACGTTTGACCTGTGTCATTGCCAACAAAGGCTATATAACAAAGTATTGAGAAACTTTTGTTATTAACCGAATACTTATTTTCCACCATAACTTGCAAATAAATTCATAAAAAATCCTACAATGTGATTTTCGGGATTTTTCTTTCTCATTTTATCTGTCATAGTTGACGTGTACCTATGATGAAAATTACAGGCCTCTCTCATCTTTTTAAGTGGGAGAACTTGCACAATTGGTGGCTGACTAAATACTTTTTTTCCCCACTGTAAGTGACTTTGAGCGTGTCATGATCGCCGGTGCCAGGCAAGCCGGATGCAGTATCTCAGAAACGGCCGGCCTCCAGGGCTTTTCACGGTTTACTGAGAATAGTGCGACAAACAAAAAACATCCAGTCAGCGGCAGTCTTGTGGGTGAAAAAAGCTCGTTGATGAGATAGATCGAAGGAGAATCGCGCAAGCTAACAGGCGGGCCACAAACAGAAAAATAACGGGGCAGAACAACAGTGGTGTGCAGAATGGCATCTCGGGAATGCACAACTCGTCGATCCTTGTCACGGAGGGACTATTGCAGCAGACGACCACAGCAGGTTCCACTCCTGTCAGTTAGAAATAAGAAGAAACCGCTCTAGTGGGCACGTGGTCACCAACACTGGACAATTGAGGAGTGGAAAAACATTGCCTGATCCGAAAAATCCCAGTTCCTGTTGTGTCATGTTGATGGTGTCAATGGTACAGGCTGGTGGCGACGGTGTACTGGTGTGGGGAATGTTTTTCTGACACACGTTACGTCCCTTGATACCAACTGAGCAATGATTGAACGCCATGCCCCAAATAATTCAGGCTGTTCTGGAGGCAAAGGGGGGTCCGACCCAATACTAGATGGGTGTAACCTAATAAACTGGCCACTGAGTGTACAGGCCATATACATCAACACACAGACACATATAAACACATCTAAATATGAAATATACACACCTGCAGCACGTACCCAGGGCAAAGAGTGAGATGGCCGTGATGTCACACTTATTCCACATGTCCTGGATGTAGAGATTCATCCTCTGATATATAGTGTTGCTGCCCACGAAGAACGTCTGCGAGAGAGAGAGAGGATGGTCATTAATATGAATGTTCTTACCTGTCAATTGTGTGTGTGTGTGTGTGTGTTCGTGTGATGTGTCCTACCTGTCGAAACTCCTCACAGACCAGGGTGAAGACCCAGAAGTAGAGAACAAACTCTAAGGTGGATGGGCCGTGAGGGGGCGGGGGCTTGAAGTCCACCAATAGGATGTAAGCAAACAGGGCGAGGAACAGGAAGTACATCAGCACGTTGCCTAGGAACGAGGTGACGGGCGCAAACCAGAACTCCCTCCAGCGCATCAGTACGAAGGGCCTCTTGGGATTGGAGGCACCTTTCAGTTTGGCCCTTAAAGCAGCATATTCCTCAGCATCCTCTTCCCTGAGAGGACAATAATGAGAATAATTACTGTGTGTGTGTGTGTGTGTGAGTGTGTGAATGTGTGTGTGTGTGTGTGCTTACGTTTGCATGATGTCGGCGAGAGGGAACACGGTGGCATCTCCTCCATCCAGACTGTCTGTGTCTCGACCATGAGTCACCTCCTCCGACTTCCCCTCCTCCTCCTCCTGTTCCCTGAGACAGAGAGAGAGAGAGAGACCGACAGACAGCGCAGAGTGAGGAAACTTTCCTTCATCACCATCTTCTCTGTATCGTTCCAATTTCTCTAACACTCCATGTATTGAAAATGGGATTGATACAGAGAAGGGAAAGCAGGAATTTGGAATGATACTATCGTGCAGAGTGAAGAAAATAAGCAGTGCTTCACGTATTGGACATTTTCCTGAATCATTCCAATTTCCAACTTTTTTCCCTTCAGCGCTGGTCAATCTTCTCTATATTACTCCAATTTCTCTGTACGCACTGAATGAGGAACATACGGAAAGCTCCATGGATTGGAAATTGTCAGACAGACAGACAGACAGGTAGCCACTAACCTGAAAGTGATGAGGTTGGTGTAGATGAGGGGGGGTAAGAAGAAGGTGAGGACCAGTTTCCAGACCTCCGTGCTCCTCTCCATGTCTCCCCACCAGATCTGAGACAGCAGAGACTGCCACGGGAAGAGGTAGGAGCAGAGTTAAGGCTCTGCATACTAGGTTCAGTTTCTCCTAGCAGAACCTGGCTAGGCGAAGTGAACGTCTGTGCTTCACATACTCCCTTAAAAGTCCTTTGCTTGAAAAACGAGAACAAAGCGGCAATATTACTGTTTGTCCCTCTTGAGGAAGCCACTCCTCAGTAAACAGCCCACTTGGATTTTGCCAAAAGGCACCTAAAGGACTCTCAGACCATGAGAAATAAGATTCTCTGGTCTGATGAAACCAAGATTGAACTCTTTGGCCTGAATGCCAAGCATCACGTCTGGAGGAAACTTTGCACCATCCCTACGGTGAAGCATGGTGGTGGCAGCATCATGCTGTGAGGAATGTTTTTCAGCGGCAGGGACTGGGAGACTAGTCAGGATCTAGGGAAAGATGAACAGAGCAAAGTACAGAGAGATCCTTGATGAAAACCTACTGCAGAGCGCTGAGGACCTCCGACTGGGGTGAAGTTTCACCTTCCAACAGGTCAACGACCCTAAGCACACAGCCAACACAACGCAGCAGTGGCTTCAGGACAAGTCTCTGAATGTCCTTGAGTGGCCCAGCCAGAGCACAGACTTGAACCCGATCTAACATCTCTGGAGAAACTTGAAAATAGCTTTGCAGCGATGCTCCCCATCCAACCTGACAGAGCTTGAGAGGATCTGCAGAGAAGAATGGGAGAAACTCCCCAAATACAGGTGTGCCAAGCTTGTAGCGTCATACCCAAGAAGACTTGAGGCTGTAATCGCTGCCAAAGGTGCTTCAACAAAGTACTGAGTAAAGGGTCTGAATACTTATGTAAATGTGATATGTCCGTTTTTTATTTTTAATACATTTGCTAAAAAATAAATAAATAAAAATGTTTTTGCGTTGTCATTATGGGGTATTGTGTGTAAATTGCTGAGGAAAAAAACAATTTAATCCATTTTAGAATAAGGCTGTAACTAAACAATGTGTAAAAAGTCAAGGGATCTGAATACTTTCCGAATATCCTAAAAGGCACCAAACAGTACCATGTGAGATCATATGTGTACCTCTGAAGGTACATTATGTGTATTTTGATATTTTTGTACCCCAGGGAACAATACTGTACCCTAACCATACCCTTACTTCTGAGAGTCCACACACTCTGAAAATCTAAGTATCTGGTTAGTTTTACAAAGATGAATGTCAAAACTAAGTTTCTTAAAGTTTTGATAACAAATCAAAAAAAATCCAAGCATGATCTACTGCAGGTCGATTTTTGGAATTGTTTTAAATATATGTGTTTTGGCATGTACATTGAGTGATTGATTTACTAATCTTATGCTACAAAAATATAAAGAACATACATTTTTCTAAACTAATCAAATCATATTTAGATATTTAGCACCTGTTACTGAAATGGTTGTTCCAGTTTAAAATGGTTTAGGTAGTCTCCTCACACTGTTCTTAACCCTGGCAGTCATTATGAATGCAGGTTGGCGTGAATAAAAATGTCAGCTGTTGGATATCCTAACTCTGGCTGGATTCCAATAGGAATTACACATCCCTTTCCAAGCCAGCATAATGTAACTTGCTGGTAGGGTTGCAAAATTCTGGTAAATTTCCCAAGTTTTCCAGAAATCCCAGTTGGAAGACTCGTGGAAATCCTTCAACCAGGAATTTTTGAAAATCAGGGAATTTGGGGAAAGTTACTGGAATTTTGCAACCCTACTTGCAGAACTGATGTAGCTCGTAAACCAAGAGTTTCAGGCCACTGTATTAGAGTAAAGCTAGGCCTTAAAATAATGTCTTATGAGATATGTAATGTATTGTCATAAAGAGTTTAATTATAATGATAACATTAACCTAGGAACTCACTTGGTGACGGCCACAGGACTGAAAATGTATGAATTCAACAACCACATTTCTGTCGCTAACAAATACAGTCATGGATGTAACTCTACAATTCACTTGAAAAGTTAAGGCACACTGGGAAATTATATTGTAGGCGTGGCATAGTGGGGGCGTTACTCAACATTTTCAAGCTGATACAACTCAAATCTGGACCCCCTACAGGGTCACAGTGACTCTGTTTAAGTAATGACTACAAAATCACTTTAAGTAACTGTACTCAGATATATTAAGTGCAACGGGTATCCTCAAAAGTTTTGAATAATGACAGCACATTGGGGTTTACAGTGATAAGCACGCAGGCACGCACGTATAGCCGCGGTAAGATGTTTGGGGGTGGGGGTGCTGCGCAAATATTGATATAATAACCATCATATCGGAGTAAACTTGGGAAACCATGCAGTTTTTTAGGCTACAGATGAAATAAGTTATGATGAACTTCACAGGGTGGTGAAAGTGCATGGTGATCTTGATGTTCCTTTCCAATAAATATTGAGGGTCTAATTCTGGTGACATGATGATCCATGCTAGACTGCCATTTGACAAATAAAAATATTATCCATAATAATCATCATGTAGACTAGCCTACCCCCACTGTATCTGTAAGCTGTTGGCTAGAGCGCACGTGCCAAGACCGGAGTGGGCACATTTGCTTTTTAACGCAGCAGTTTTTGTGACAAAACTATCGGTAGAGTTGAAAATGCGATGGAAACATATTGAACTTTAGATTTTTATTCGGTACATGAAAACCTAAGTGAAAAAGTACATTTTGTGTGCACTACGTCATCACGCACTGATGTTATCTGAAACAAATCAGTTTGTTGGAAACACCACTGGTGGGAAAATAGCATATTTTCTTTATGCGGATTCAAGAATATTTGCATGAAAATCTAGCTACTGAGAGAGTTAAATGAACACTGAATGTGTTAAGTCTGTGGACCCATATAGACATTGGAACAGTGTTAAATTAACACTCTGCTTTGTGTAAAGCCTTATTCAAATATTTCCCAGAGTGCATTGCCTTTCGAGTAAATTGTAGAGTTACCACCTATAACTGTATTTGTTAGTGACAGATACATAGTTGTAGCATTCATCAATTTTTGGACCTTTTGGATTTCACCAAGTGAGCTCCTAAGCGAATATGTTATCATTAAAAAAATACATTATTTAACACAATACCATACGTTTTTCATAAGGCCTTATTTTGAGGGCCTAGTTTTACCCTAATGAAGGGACCTGAAACTCATACACATCACTTTGAACTAAAACCCCGCCCATCATTATCATATTTCCCAGCATCCTCTATTGCAGGTTAATTTTTTGAATTGTTTGTTTCAATATCTATGTTTGTGCATGTACATTGATTGATAGATTAATCTTATGCTACACAAAGATAAATAAAATACATTTTTCTAAACGGCACTCGTTACTGAAATGTTTTGTTTCAGTTTAAATGCCTTAGGTAGTCTCCTCACAATGTTCCTAACCCTGGCACTCTTTCTGAATGCAGGTTGCCGGTGAATAAAAATGATGTTGTATCCTAACTCTGGCTGGCTTCCAATAGGAATTAAACATCACTTTGCAAGTCAGCATAATGTGACTTGCTACCTGCAAAGAAACTTTACCAAAATGTACAGGTTTTCCAGAAATCCTGGTTGGAAGTTTCCTGGAAACTGAAGCAGGCAATCTGAAATACTTCAACCAGGATTTTTAGAAAATCTGGGCATTTTGGGAAAGTCACCAGATTTTTGCAAGCCTGAGGTATGAACTGGGGTACAATTATGCACTTATAACCAAAAGGCACAAATGATGACCTGACAGAGACATGTGTTTGTACCCCTTTCGGAACACATCTAAACCTTTTTCCTGAGAGTATAATACCCAACACCACATGGTTTACAGGCCACATCAGGACTGGAAGTCAGATTATGCTGGCTTGCAAGGTGATGTGTAATTCCTATTGGAATCCAGCCAGTGTGGGGATATCCAACATTTGGCATTTTTAATCAACCACAACATGTATTCAGAATGACTGCGGAGGTTAGGAAGACTAAGCTATGAGACAACCTAAAGTATCTAAATTGGAATAACCATTTCAGTAACGGGTAAAATAAGTCCAAGAGATTCGTTTAGAAAATGTTTGTAATTTATATTTGAGTAGCATAAGATTAATTGATTACTCAATAAATCAATGTATATGCACCAACATAGATATTGAAACAAACAATTCAAAAAATCAACCTGCATAGAGGATGCTGGGAAATGTGATAATGATGGTTTGGTTTTGGTTTAAAGTGATGCGTATGAGTGTCAGGCCCCTATATTAGGGTAAAACTAGGCCCTCAAAATAAGGCTTACTTTATGATAACCTATTTGCTTAGGATCTCACTTGGTGAAGTCCATAGGACCGAAAATGGATGACTGCAACAACCATGCCGCTTCTTTTTTTTACACTGGAGAATTTGCTGTGTGCATATGGCGGAGGAGTGTGTGAACGCGCAAATGGAAGACGGAGGGGAGAGGGGAAGGGGAAGGGGGTGATTTGGGATTCAGCTACACACACACATACACCTTGACCCCTGACCCCTGGGTTTAGTACAGACCTGCACGCCGTCATGGCTGAAGAAGAGGCGGGCATCAGCTGCGGTGGCCATCTGCAGACAGGTAGCTCCGCCCCACACCGGAGACTTCCTTATAAGGAGGGTGAAGGAGCGGTTTTCACTGCTCTGGTAGCACTCACTGAACACGTCTAGAGAGATGATTAAAGGGTTAACACTCAACACTCACTGAAGACGTCTAGAGAGAGAGGAAATGGGTCACAGGTTTTCAAATGAAGTTTCCCATTAGGAGTGCGGATATGTTTGCTTCAGTCCTCATCTTAAAGGTGTGAAAGCATTGCAAATGGTCCCAGACTGGGATGCCATCCAGCAGACTTTCCAAACAGGTGGTCCCTTACGGTCTGATGTGGAACTGCTACAAGGCATTATGGTGTAACAACCTTCACTCACAAAATACAAGCTGCTCACAGTATGCATAACAGAGTTGATGGCTACTACATTGACATCCTCACAGAACAAACACACAGCAAGGATAAGGCTAACCCACCATGGGCCAAGTTCTCAAACTTCTGGGCTAGCACGTTCATAGAGAGCTTGGTCTCCGTCTCACTCTCCAGCTTAGACAGCTCCCTCAGCATCCTACAGCCTGCCAGAGCACTGTGGACAGACTCCCCAGCCTGGGGGGGGAGGGGGGAGAGAGAGAGAGAGAGAGAGAGAGAGAGAGAGAGAGAGAGAGAGAGAGAGAGAGAGAGAGAGAGAGAGAGAGAGAGAGAGAGAGAGAGAGAGAGAGAGGAGAGAGAGAGAGAGAGAGAGAGAGGAGAGAAGAGAGAGAGAGAACAGAGAGAGAGACAGAGAGAGAGAGAGAGAGAGAGAGAGAGACAGAGAGAGAGACAGAGAGAGAGAGACAGAGAGAGAGAGAGAGCGAGAGAGAGAGAGAGAGAGAGAGAGAGAAGCATTGTGCATTGGTAAATTAAAGGTAGACTCAGCGAGATGATGCAGATGCACAAAGTAAACAGCAGTAGTGGGTAAATTTCCACAACAACTAAGAGCGTTGAAGCGCGAGGCTAAACCACTCCACTGTTTCGGTCCCGTACCTACCACGTTGTAGTAGCGTGAAGCGAACCCCTGCAGATACTCTGTGTGACTGTGTGAGAGCGAAGTTTTGCATCGTGCTCATCGCAATATCAGCGGTGCTGCTCGTGGCAACGTCATATCGCTGAGTCTACCTTTAATGAATGGCCTTTGGAGTCCATGTCATTTTCTACAGATTAGACTGTTGAGTGCGCACATTGTTTATCACTGTCATTACAGCTGCCTGGTCCCATATATTCTTAACTGACTCACCCGGTCAGATAAAGGTTCAATTAAATAATTAATAAATAAATTACCATCTCCCAGAAGTAGACTGCCATCTCGCTGCGGTTCTGAAGCACAGCCCAGATGAACAGAGAGGCCCAGGGAGAGAGGCAGCTCTGCTCCTTGTACGGACACTCCCCCAGCAACAACTTATTCATGTGCTGAGAGGGGGGAGAGAGTGAAGTAGTCACAGTTACATTATATGGCCAGTAATGCAGTGGTATCACCATAGTAGCATTGATCATTCAACTATATTGGTGGAGGCTACCCTATCACTGCATCACTGTACCTTGTCATTGAGAACAAATGCATTTGTAATTCATGTCTATGTAGAACAGTGCTGTGAGGGGACACTACTAGAAACAATGGTTGCATCCTAAATGGCACCTATTCCCTATATCGTGCACTACTGGGCAGGTACACTAGCAGTTAAGGGAGTTGGGCCAGTAACAAAGGTTGCTGGTTCGAATCCCTGAGCTGGCAAAGTGGAAAAATCTGCTGTTGAGCAAGGCAGTTAAACCCCAGCAACAACTGCAGCCCCCCGCACCGCTCTGATTCAGAGGGGTTGGGTTGAATGCATTCAGTTGTGCAACTGACTAGGTATCCCCTTTCCCTTTCCTTACTTCTGACCAGGGCCCTGGTCAACAGTAGTGCACTATATAGTGGAGAGAGTGTCATTTGGAATGCAACCACTACCTTCATTGCTCTCCTGGTGCTGGTGCTCTGGTCCAAACCCAGAAGGCTGTAGTAGAAGGGCTCACACACATCTCCCAGGATGTCCCATAGAAGCCGTGACACCTTGAGGGAGAGGCGAGAGGAAGTCACATAGAACTGAGATGACTACCCACATGAAAAAAATACTATAGAATTCTACAATACTTACTATAGAATGGTGTAGTATACTGTAAAATACTATACTACACACTGTAGTAACCCTCGATCATGTGTAGTACTTACTATAGAATGGTGTAGTATACTGTAGAATACTTTAGTAAATACAACAGTAATGTCCGCAAAAACACTACACTTTTTAAACTATAGTAAATACTACTGTATTTAATTAGCATATACCCTGCCCATTTCCCTCCACCATATCCCAATTTGTGCCAACCATAAGTGAGAAACCTACATATCAAGTATAGACCATATATTGTGTTCCCTACAGGTTATAGAAAATAGCAGAAGCGCTGAACTATCTGTTCAGATTATGGACAATTTGCTCTTTTAGGTTATGGAAAATTTGCTCTTTTAGTATTTCTCCAGTAGGTTTCCTCAAGGAGAAAGCCTCCAATGTCAAAGATAATAAAACTAAAACACTATAGTAAATACTACAGTATAATACAAGCCGCAAACACACTACATTAATTACTATAGTACAGTGCATTTGGAGAGTATTCAAACCCCTTCCCTTTTTCAAAATTCTGTTACGTTACAACCGAATTCTAAAATGGATTAAATCTGATTATTTTCTCATCAATCTACACACAATACCCCATAATGGCAAAGCAAAAACTGGTTTGTAGAAATGTTAGGAAATGTATTAAAAATAACAAACAGAAATACCTTATTTACATAAGTATTCAGACCCTTTGCTATGAGACTCTAAATTGAGCTCAGGTGCATCCTGTTTCAATTGATCATCCTTCAGATGTTTCTATAACTTCATTGGAGTCCACCAGTGGTAAATTCAATTGATTGGACATGATTTGGAAAGGCACACACCTGTCAATATAAGGTCCCACAGTTGACAGTGCATGTCAGAGCAAATTTTCCGTAGAGCTCCGAGACAGGATTGTGTCGAGGCACAGATATGGGAAAGGGTACCAAAACATTTCTGCAGCATTGAAGGTCTCCAAGAACACAGTGGCCTCCATCATTCTTAAATAGAAGAAGTATGGAACCACAAAGACTCTTCCTAGAGCTGGCCGCCCGGCCAAACTGAGCAATCGGGGGAGAAGGGCCTTGGTCAGGGAGGTGACCAAGAACCCGATGGTAACTCTGAAAGAGCTCCAGAGTTCCTCTGTGGAGATGGGAGAACCTTCCAGAAGGACAACCATCTCTGCAGCACTCCACCAATTAGGCCTTTATGGTAGTGGCCAGACGGAAGCCACTCCTCAGTAAAAGGCACATAACAGCCCGTTTGGAGTTTGCCAAAAGGCACCTAAAGGACTCTCAGACCAGGAGAAACAAGATTCTCTGGTCTGATGAAACCAAGATTGAACTCTTTGGCCTGAATGCCAAGTGTCACGTCTGGAGGAAACCTGTCACCATCCCTACGGTGAAGCATGGTGGTGGCAGCATCATGCTATAGGAATGTTTTTCAGCGGCAGGGACTGGGAGACTAGTCAGGATAGAGGGAAAGATGAACGGAGCAAAGTACAGAGAGATCCTTGATGAAAATCTGCTCCAGAGCGCTCAGGACCTCAGACTAGGGTGAATGTTCACCTTCCAACAGGACAATGACCCTAAGCACACAGCCAAGACAACGCAGGAGTGGTTTTGGGACAAGTCTCTGAATGTCCTTGAGTGGCTCAGCCAGAGGCCGGACTTGAACCCGATCAAACATCTCTGGAGAGACCTGAAAATAGCTGTGCAGTGACGCTCCCTATCCAACCTGACATAGCTTGAGAGGATCTGCAGAGAAGAATGGGAGAAACTCCCCAAATACAGGTGTGCCAAGCTTGTAGCGTCATACCCAAGAAGACTCAAGGCTGTAATTCGCTGCCAAAGGTGCTTAAACAAAGTACTGAGTAAAGGGTCTGAATCCTTGTGTAAATTTGCAAAAATTTATAAAAACCTGGTTTTGCTTTGTGATTATGGGGTATTGTGTGTAGATTGATGAGGGAAAAAAATAACAATTTAATCAATTTTAGAATAAGGCTGTAACGTAACCAAATGTGGAAAAAGTCAAGGGGTCTGAATACTTTACGAATGCACTGTATATACTACAGTTTGCTTTTACTACAGTATTTATACTATTGTGAACTGTAAATACTACAGTATACTACAGTAAAGTCAGCAAAACACTACAGTGAATACTATAGTATTTATACCATAGTATACTATAGCATTTTTTCATGTGTTGAAGCAGATTATCAAAGAAATCTAAACATTTGATCAAATGCTCCTCAACTCCACACAGTGAGTGACCCCATACATCCCCTTTCCCCCTCCCTATTTGATCATTTTACCATTTAATTTCTCCACAAATACCTAGTCACATCAGTACTTTAAAAAAGGCTGCAGCTGCAGAGCCGACTGACTTCTTTTTCTCCCTACTAAAGATTCAGAAGTTTCTGCGCATGTGTTTCTTGACCTCTACTTTACCCACACATTTTGTGGTCTCCTTGCCTTGACATTTCTCACTGTCAATCGTGAATGATACGTTTTACCGGTGAAACGCCCATGCCAATAATTTGATCTCAATCAGTTTCATGGGGATATGCATTTAGATATTCTTGAGTTATACATTGTTGTTTCGAAGTAGCTTACACTGTTGTTTTATATGATGTACACTGAGCGACTTTTAGAGCAGATGGTTTTAACAAACTGTAGCATAGCCTACCTGTGTATTTTGCCTAGTATATTGCCACGCTGTTGAGTCTTGGCCATATGAGAGAAAATGCGGTGGTGTTTTTGTCTTACTTGCGTAGAATACTAGCATTATGTTATCTTGCAGACATTGATTCACCTATGACCTAACTTTATTAAACAAGCACCATTTGCCAGAGTATCCTGTTTTCTACGAGCAGAGACCGGGAGTAAAGTAGAGAATAAACAGAAGCTTCAGGATCTTTTGTCTGGAGAAGAAAAGGTCTGATAAAAGTCGGATCCGCAGCCACTACGATAAAATAAAGTGCAACCCCTCCTCACCTCATACAAGCTGAGCTCTTTGGCCGACGAGGGTCCTGATATGGGGCTCTTGAGGGGCGAGGGGCTGTCCGGAGAGCAGGGGACGGTGGGCAGGGACTCGGCCAGGCCCTGCCTCTCTGTGAGGCGGCGCTGGAGCAGCGTGTAGGCCAGAGAACTGTCGGATAGCGAGCGGTACAGGCCCTCCAGACGCCGGTATGTCAGGTAGTGCAGGATGTTGAGGCCGTTCTCAGTGAAGAGACGCACGAACTGGGGCTTGTCGTTGATCAGCGCGTCCGTCATGGAATCCTCTAGGTCCTCGTACTGCAGGAGGATGTTTTTTAAAATATGTCCATCTGTCGATCTATCTCAAATAAAATTGTGTATCTGTCTGTCAAAATTGAAACAATACTATCGTATCGAGTGATAAAAATAAGAAACGCTCCACAGATGTAACATTTCTTTCACCAACATCTTCTCTGTATCGTTCCTTATTTTCCTCATATTATCCGATACAGAGATATTGGAAACATACTGTGTCTGTCATTTTGTCATAAATACCCTGTCAGCTAAATAACATCAAAGAAAATAAATGCTGTTTAACAGTGGTGATAGTGGTGATCGTGAGGAGCAGCTCACCCTCCATTGGATGTCTCCGTTGAAGAGTTCACTCTTAGCGATGTCCACCCTATTCCAGGCTACTGCTAGCTTCAGCTCCTCTGTGTACTCACTGGCATCACTTGACACACGTTTACTAGCTGACAGAAAAATACATCGAGCGAATGAGTAGTTTGACCAGGATCATGTTCAACATCTCTGTCAACAGATATCAAACGCACACACACACCATATCCACACGCGCACAGACACAAATAGACATGCAGATGGAAGAATGCATGCACGCACGCACGCACATACACACACACCCCTACCTCTGACGAGAGCCTTCAGTAGCACTGTGTCAAAATCATCAGGACCCTCCTGCTCCCCGTGGAACACTGTTATAAGATCTCTGTTCTGATAGATACTCAGAGCCTGGTGAGGGAGGGGAGGGGGGGTTAGAGAAGAAAGAAAAACAGTAAGATTATTATCACGTACACAAACTTGCTTTCTCTCTCACAGACACATAGCAGTACTTCCGTCCCTCTCCGTGACCCAAACTGGGCTTGAACCATGGACCCTCTGAACACATCACCAACTGCCACCCAAGAAGCATCGTTACCTATCGCTCCACCAGAGTAAACGGAAACAGCTACATCTAGGTCTCAGAGTGGGTGACATCACCGATTGAACGCTACTAGCGCATCGCTAACTAGCCATTTCACATCGGCCAGACACACACACCCATCCACACACACAAACACATGCACACACACCCATGCACACACACAAACACATGCACACACCCATCCACACACACACATCAGCAAGCTCTCACAGTCTCATTGCAGAATTAAACGTTTATCAATTTCGAAGTGTTTTTGACACCCTGGGTTGCTCCTACTGCTCTGTATCATTCCATTTCTCCAAAAGTCACATTTCTAAGTTAATGGTTAAGTTTAGGCACTCAATCTGAATGGTTAATGTACGGGTTAAGGTTTGGGATTGGGTTAAAACAAAAAACAACAGTGCCCACCACCGGGATCAAACACACAACCTTCTGATCCAGAGTCATGGGATTATTCCCATCTGCTATCCCACAATGCCACAAGTCTACTTGATGGTACTAGTGCTCACTGCTGCCCCTAGTGGCCGGTTTTGAAGGCATTTCCTGACGTCCTCAGTGTATATATAGATAGACCTCCAATTTTGAAGTCAATCTTTAATGATCTCCCTGACACACACACACACACACACACACCCATCCACACACACACACACACACATCCCAGCCCACCCTGCCCCCACTCACCCTGTCCACCAGCTTCTCCAGGTCTGCCTCGGCAGTGAAGTGCCTCCGGACCCTCTCACGGGCCCTGTCACGCAGCTCCGCACTGGGGCTCTCGCTCCCCTCACCCTCTGGCGGGGGAGAGGTGGGGATCATGGGCATGGCTGACAGGGCATCCAGCAGCTCACAGATGAGATCCGCCGCTGGACCAGAACCATTCAACACCAGCCAGGGAGTAGCCTTCTTCAGAGAGAGATCCACCCTCTGAGGGAGAGAGGGAGGGAGGGCGAAAAGCAGAAAAGAGAGTGAGAGAAAGTGAAAGAAGGAGAAATATGAGGGAAAGGGAAATTCAAAAGGGAAGGAGAGAGAGAAAGAGGGGATAAGCGAAAAGTTCTGGTCATGCACAGTAATTTACTATAGGCCTAGTGATGTCATGAAAATTAAAGTAAGTCAAAGTGATGATAGTGATGTTGCCATAGCTTACCTCCAGCATGGCAGCTTCCCCTGAGATGAGCATACACAATACAGGGACATCTATACTGCCACTACCTGGAAAACAAAAGGTACAGGGCATTGTCAAGTTTTTTTTGTCATGAGTCATTCAGTACGGTCATATACACACAATAATATGATTATTGTAAATAGTCAGATTAAAATAATAGTTTGAGTTAACGTTTACATGCTTTGCAAGAAGAACGATTTTTCTTTTACATGGACACATCTGAAATCAGGCTACCTGATTGGACTTTGATAAATGAAGAACATCTGCAATCAAAATAAACGTTCTACCAAAGCGACCATGTTATTTTTGCGAAGCATATTTGATTCTGACACATAAAGTTTGTATGTAAAATTCTGAGATGCATACTTTAAATATTTCCGAACTCCCTTCACTCGCGCAAAATAATTCAATTTGAGCTGCTCGTGCTAGCACATGCACAGATCAAATACACTGCTATAACTCTGAGTAAGGCGTTTACATGTCCTGAATCATTTGAAAGATTGCTCAGAGAACCAGATGTATCGGTTTATGCTTACTTTGATTATGACCGTACGCCGATTAAGATAAGCAGAGTAAGGTGTTTAAAGGACTAATGCCGTACTCGGCCTACTGCCATAATCCGTTTAATATCTCATTATTAGTGTGCATGTAAACGTGATCTTATTGTGAATGTCCATCATATTAATGTCAATGTGTGAATATTTCATTATTTACTACTTATATTAGAATATAAGACTATGTATTTTTACACAAGCATCATTAAATTATTTCCTTATAAAAAATAAAACACAATTGGAACGCTTCACGATATGTCCTACTTGCTTGCGCCTGTTGGAAGGCGGGGAGACCATATTCATCTTCTGTGTATCGATTGAATTTTAATTTGTGCACCGACGGATCTCAGTCACAGAAGAGAATATTGCCAAGTATTTATAGTGTTGATGTCAACAACAAAACTCCCATGGGTTGCTCGCCAGATGAGTTCAACTTTGGATGAATTGTTATATATTGTTAACGTTAGTCTTTCTTACTGAAATATATAAATAACCCACCGAATATTAGCGATACAAAAGAAGTTACACAAGCATCATTGAGTTTAATATCATATCGCAAAGGACATTAGGACATGTAGGTCTGGAAACTCAAACGTTACGAAAATGAAATCAAGTTTTATAATTGCAAATACGTGAGAATTGGATAGGTGCTTTATCGCGTGATCTAGCTATCACATTATTGTGGATCTACTCATTGAAATACATTCATCTAGTCGTATTTACCAAACGCTAGCAAAGCAGGGCTGGCGTTATGGGCGGGCCTCCTTGCCCATCAAAATAAAATATTTAAATATTGATAATTAATTTGACTGAGATGCGCGCCAACAGAAAGATGCATCAATCTCAGACAAAGCATCTGAGAGAGCGAAACAGCGCCCTTCTGTCTCAGTAAGTGTAGCCCATGTATCGGATGCTGTCTGGACAAAAAGAGTATGGCATGTCATAATTATGTAATCACCAATTGTGATTGAAGAATGGGGAGGGCCATTCTATTGTATTGATCTATTATAATTATAATCTCAAAATGATACGTAGTCTACCCTCTATAAATCCACCGAATACAAGCAGTTTTATAGTCTACTCTGGCCTACTTTGAGTACACAGTGAGAACGTGCGTAATTTGCAATGGCAAGAAGACCAAGATGAACGGATGCACATGCTGCGTTAGCGTTGCTACAAAATCTGAATCAAAACGACTCAGATGGTGGGGAAGAAATGAATCATGATGACATCTCTGATGATTATTCTTATGATTCTGAGCCTCAGCTTGAACCTACAGCTCCGAGGCCTTACCGCAAAAAAAGACAGAATGGTGCGCACTGAGCAGGTGGTCGCACAACGACCAAATGAAAGGAAGGGACAACACCGTTTGGATAGAACAAGCTGGTGACAATGCTACTGACCGATTATCAGCACAAAATGTAATCACTGTAGGCAGGCCTTACATCTAAAGCAAAAAACAAAATCCGCAACCACTCACCAGCTTTCGTTGTTTATGTGACATGGACATGCTCCAACTGATAATTGACTATTTTTGACTGCTGTCATATTCATTATTGATTATAATGCCATTATTGCTTTTGTGCTGATTTTCACTATTTATCAAGCACACTTGGCATATCTTATTTACATAAGTATTCACACCCCTGAGTCAATACTTTGTAGAAGCACTTTTGGCAGCGATTACAGCTGTGAGTCTTTCTGGGTAAGTCTCTAAGAGCTTTCCACACCTGAATTGTGCAACATTTTACCATTATTCTTTTCAAAATTCTTCAAGCTCTGTCAAATTGGTTGTTGATCATTGCTAGACAACCATTTTCAGGTAGACTTAAGTCAAAACTGTTAACTCAGCCCCTCAGGAACATTCACTGTCTTCTTGGTAAGCAACTCCAGTGTAGATTTGTCCTTGTGTTTTAGGTTATTGTCCTGCTGAAAGCTGAATTCATCTCCCAGTGTCTGAAAATGTGAAGAGTTGTACTCAGTAATGTGTTGTGTTGGATTTTCCCCAAACATACACTTTGTGTATTCAGGACAAAAAGTTAATTGCTTTGCCATATTTTTTGCAGTATTACTTTAGTGCCTTGTTGCAAACAGGATGCATATTTTGGAATATTTGTATTCTGTACAGGCTTCCTTCTTTTCACTCTGTCAATTAGGTTAGTATTGTGGAGTAACTACAATGTTGTTGATCCATCCTGTTTTCTCCTATCACAGTCATTAATAAACTCTGTAACTCTTTTAAAGTCGCCTCATGGTGAAATCCCTGAGCGGTTTCCTTCCTCTCCAGCAATTTAAGTTAGGAAGGACACCTGTATCTTTGTAGTGACTGGGTGTATTGATACACCATCCAAAGTGTAATTAATAACTTCACTATGTTCAAAGGGATATTCAGTGTCTGCTTATTTTTTTACCCATCTACCAATAGGTGCCCTTCTTTGTGAGGCATTGGAAAACCACCCTGGTCTTTGTGGTTGAATTTGTGTTTGAAATTCACTGCTCGACAGGGACCTTACAGATAATTGTATGTGTGGGGTACAGAGATGATGTAGTCATTCATGTTAAACACTATTGTTGCACACAGAGTGATTTATTATTGCACACACAGCTATCACATTTGGTTCCTTGGAAGTTGTGGGAACGTATGTTTTTGGTTCCACATTGGTTGAGGGAATGAAGCCCTACATTTCTGACCGCCAAAACGTTTTTTAAACATTTCGAGAACAGAAGTGAAAATTTTGCCTGTTCTGGGAATGTTTATTTTTAGGTTGTAGGGAAGTTCTGAGAATGTTATCTTGGGAGCTTTTATTAACGCTCTGAGAATGGAAATTATAGGTTATTTGGAGGTTTTTTAACAACTTCCTTAAAATTATAACTGAATGTTTCAATAAGACTGCTAACTTTTTTTGGATTAACTTTTTTTGAACTCCAAGCACAGATAAGAAACATGGAAATGAATTTCCTTAGGCATTAATCATGCAAACACATTTTTTTTATTGTGACAGAGCATCAGTGAAATTCAAACCTATGAGCTTCTGTTCTCTAGCCATGGAATTAGACCACGGCGCAACTAGGATGGAGCTAGCATGCTATGTTTTTTTACGCATACAAAGCTGTTAATTGTAGTCTATTCAAACAGACCCCATTTCAAAGGAAACAAACACTCATTAAGATCAGGTGTGGCTAATTAGTGGGCGTGGCCAACACACCTGAACACATTTAACAAGATAGAGGATATAAGATAGTATTGTTGATGCTCATAACGGAACGTTCCCAGAATATAATAAAAATATGACATTAAATAGAACCACATAGGCACTTGTGTGGAATGTTCTGTGGAAGTACTGAAATTCCCACAGAAAAACGTTTTTTCTGAACTTTATCGGAACAATTTGAGAACATGTCTTTAATCAAAACCATGAGGAAACCTGTAGGAACCTTTATGCTGAAGTACTAAAATTCCCACAGAAGAACATTGTTTCCTAACATTCCCTGAACTATTCGAGAACATTCACAATGTCAAACCAGTTGGGGAACGTTCCTAGAATTGAAATTAAATGTAACCATGTTTGAGCTTTTAGGACACGTTCTGTTGAAGTAATGAAATACCAAGAAAATAAAGGTTTTTTTGTCAAGTTCCTTAAATGTTCTGAGAATGTTCCAAAGCCAAGCAACTATCCTGCACCATTCCCAGAAAGTTGTGGGAAGGTTGAATGCAAAATAACCATAGAACAACCACGCTCTCACCAAGCTCTAAGAAACAGATGGTTCTCAGAACGTTATGTGCTAGCTGGGCTGTGTCTCACCCCAGATGCCTGTGCGTTGGTGGGAGATGTAGTCCTCCATCTTGGCCCAGAAGGCCATTTCCCCTCCCCGCCGGCCTACACTCCCATCATCCACCAGCAGGAAGGCCTGGTAGTTACTATCCAGGGAGCACGAATCATGGGACGTGTTCTGGACATAATACCGCGCTGGAAAACTACCCTGAGGAGGAGGGAGGTAGAGAAAGAGAGATAGGGGGGGGGGGGGGGAGAGAGAGATCAGGGATAGAGAATGGGATCAGAGGAGGAGAGAAAAGGGAGAGGGGAGAGTGAGATCAGGGTAGAGAAAGGAGGGTAGAGAGAGAGGGAGAGAAAAAGAGAGAGAAACATAGTGAGAGAGAGAGAGAGAGAGAGAGAGAGAGAGAGAGAGAAGACATTGTGATTCCCATCCCTTGTGTAATAAAATGTCCTTATTGTTATTAATTTGATTTCCTGTGGTTTTGGCTTTCTCTACGTAAAATTACATCTTATTGAACTGAGAGAAAGAAATAGAGTGAAAGACAGTAGGGATAAAAAGAGAGAAGGACGGGGACAGAAATAAATTAGGAAAGTGAGTGAGGAGCAAAGAGGGGAGAGATGAAAGTGAATGAAATTCTATAATTGTATACAGTGCCAGTGTACAGTAGTGTGTTCCTAAGCATTCCTGTGTGTGTGTGTGTGTGTGTGTGTGTCTGTGTCACGTGCATGTTTAATTCTGTATACATTGAACAGTGTGTGTGCGTGTGCATGTACCCGTGCGTTGATGAGGCGCTGTCTGTTGTGCACCAACCCCCAAGGGGCCACGCCCACAGCGATGACTTTCTTCTGGGACAGGGAGGAGGCCGCCGCTGCATGATCCCTCACTGCTTCCCCAACACAATGACTAACCCCCTCCCTCAGCCCCCCTGTCACTATCCACGCCCCTGGGAGAGAGGGGGGAGGGAGAGGAGAAGGGAGAGAGAGGGAGGGAGGGAGAAAAATAAAAGAGGGAGGGAGAGATATGGGGGGAGGGGGAAGTGAGGGATTGAGAGATTGAGAGAGAGCATGAGAGAAATATTTATGGTACAATAATAATATGCCACTTAGCAGATGCCTTTATTCAAAGCGACTTGCAGTACAGTGAGTGCATAAATGTGACCCCTGCGGGAATTGAACCCACAACCTTGGAATAGCAAGTACCACATTCTTACCAACTGAGCAACCAGGATCATAGACAATGGACAATAGACAGATAAGGAACAGAAGCTTGTTGGTTATGAGTCAAGGGCACTGTGAAAATATGTGACTGGCAGTGAAAGATGTATCCTGTTCCTTCTCTGTACGAGCACTCATCTGACCTTCTGGTTGGCCTCTTACCATTGCTGTATCTGCTAACTTTATGCTCTATGGACAACCTGCTTATTGCCCTGCCTTGCTTTAATCAACAACTGTCTGGCCTAGATGGTCATGTGTCCTGTAAACTTTTAACCCATACAGCCAGAGCAGGAGGAAGAGGAGGAGAAGGAAGAGGAGGAGGAAGACGAGGAGGGTAAGCTACAGTAGCAACTCTAATTGGTAGAACGGACATACTTTTAATTCCACCTGATCCGCTCAGTCCCCACAATACGTTATGAAAGTAAAAAGCTAATGTAGTGACGTCATAGGATCATTGGAGACAGTTGATATCGTCAATACCTATCTATAAAACAACCATGCTGTTTGTCCTCAGTGGATCTTGGGGCTAGGTACAGTATTTCTGCCAGAAAATCATTAGTTCTGTCCATAGTGTTGAAAAAAACTCAAGATAGCATAAGGGGTTCATAGATACTTATGACAAAGCGTATAACGCATTATAACTGCGTCATGATGCATATTTCCTGTATGTTACAGAGATGGTTCATCTTAAGGGGATCACATGTATGAATTAATTATATATTAAACAAATAGATTAAACGGAGTGGGCGTTGTTCTCACCTGTGCTTTGTTCCGCCCTGACCAACCTCAAACCCAGGAAACCTGGGTGTGTGTGTGTCAAATCAAAGTTTATTGGTGATGTATACAGATTTGCAGATGTTATTGCAGGTGCAGCGAAATGCTTGTGTTTCCAGCTCCAACAGTGCAGTAATACCTAGCAATACAAAATAATACACACATAATCCAAAAGGTAAAAATAAAGACATTTAGAAATATCAAAACGAGCAATGTCAGAGTCCGGAATATATATATACACTACCGGTCAAAAGTTTTAGAACACCTACTCATTCAAGGGATTTTCTTTATTTTTACAATTTTTTACATTGTAGAATAATAGTGAAAACGTCAAAACTATGAAATAACACATTTGGAATCATGTAGTAACCACATAAAGTGTTAAACAAATCAAAATATATTTTATATTTGAGATTCTTCAAATAGCCACCCTTTGCCTTGATGACAGCTTTGCAAAACTATACTAAATGTATTCACTTCACCAAATAATTGATTAAAACACTGTCACGACTTCCTCCGAAGCTGCCTCCCCTCCTTGTTCGTCGTCACCGGCCTTCTAGCCACTGCTGCTCCATATCTCATCATTCCATTTGTCTTGTCTTGTCAATTACACACACCTGGTTCATATTCCCCTCATTAGTACATGTATAAGTGTTCCCTCTGCCCCCTTGTCCTTGTGGGTGATTGTTTCATGTGAGATGAGTGTAGCTTGGTGGAGCTACCTGTACGTTGTTTTGTTTTGGTATATATTCCCTGTGTGCCTGTATTTGTTCCAGTGCGCCTGTTTTGCGCACTGGACTGTTGACGCTATCCAGCGTAACTGTGTACGACGGAATAAACTCTGTATTCTGTGATTTACCCTCCTGCGCCTGACTCCTTCAAATCACACTCTCACAAACACACTGTTTTGCAATTAAAGTCTACAGTAGCGTCAGCAGCACTCTGTAGGGTTGCACCATGGTGTAGCCGGAGGACAGCTAGCTTCTGTCCTCCTCTGAGTACATTGACTTTAATAAAAAACCTAGGAGGCTCATGGTTCTCACCCCCTTCCATAGACTTACACAGTAATTATGACAACTTCTGGAGGATGTCCTCCAACCTATCAGATCTCTTGCAGCATGAACTGACATGTTGTCCACCCAATCAAAAGATCAGAGAATGAATCTAGTACTGAAAGCATAAGCTACAGCTAGCTAGCACTGCAGTGCATAAAATGTGGTGAGTAGTTGACTCGAAGAGAGAGCAAGAGAGAGAGAGAGAGAGAGAGATAGATTTGGTTGTAGCTAGCTAGTTTAGCCTACTCAAACACCCGGCTCAAACAGAAAGGGAGGCTATGTTAGCTAGCTGGCTATCCAACACTGGAACTCTTCCAAGTCAAGGTAAGCTTTTGGTTTTATACATTTATTGCCACGGGGGCCGCCGGTGTAACTGCTACACTGCTTTCTGAATGTACACTGTACTGCATGATTATAGCGGGTTTACTAACGCGTTAGTTCTTGACAACGATGTAGGCTGTGTGTAGCGTTAGCGGTCATGATATGAAGGTTTGGCTTGGAAAGGTGTTTTCGCCTGGTCACAGACATCTGATGTGTTGTGCACTGAAGTCCACAAGCGAAGGGAAAAGGTGAGAGGAGGAGAGCGCGTAGATAGTTGCGAGAATTAATTATATATACAACGAGCAAAGTGATCATGCTGATTTTATGTGGCTGCTATGATAATGAACTGTGTTTTTTATTATTTTATTTAACCAGGAAAGGCTCATTGAGATTTGAAATCTATTTTTCAAGAGCGTCCTGGCCAAGATAGGCAGTATCAAGTCATTACACAATTACAGACAGACATCATGAAAAACGACTGTCACGTCTCCTCCCGTTGCTCCCCTCCGGCGCTCTGATTCGCCGGTCTACTGAGACACCAGTCTGAGCGCACCACCTCGGCAACACCGGAATGGAAACCCAACGCACCCTAATCACCTCCAGCGCACCTGCACCTCATCATCTCATCACCACCCCTATATAGCCCTGGACTGTTCAGTGATGTGTTGTGTGTGATTGTTAGTGTCTTGTCGTGTACTCGCTCTTTGTTGTTCTCTTGCTCAGTGTTAAGTAAACCTTTACATTGTTGATTCCTGCGTCTGCGTCCTGCCTCTTCGTATCCTCAGTACTTGTTACAACTACAAGTAATCTAGTAAACATCCATAGAAATCACAGGAGCATAACAAAATCATAAAACAGGAATTTAGAAACATTGACAGGTGAAGGAATCAGCCTCAAAATCCTTCATCAATGATTTAAAAACACCAAGTTCTTCCAGTTTAAAAGTATATTGTAAGGCGTTCCAAGCCGATGGCGCAGAGTACATAAAAGCCCTTTTACCAAATTCAGTTAGGACATTTGGAACAGTTAGCAGGATAAAGCCCTGCGAACCAAGGGAGTACCCACCAAATTTCTGAAGAATAAAAATGGCTAGATAAAATGGTAGTAAATCCAAAATGGCTTTGTAAATAAAAGTATACCAGTGGCAGAGCCTACAAGTGACTAGAGAAGACCAGCCAACCCTGGTATATAAAGTGCAATGGTGCGTAAGGGTTTTGCAGTTTAAAATACATCTCAATGCTCCATGATAAAGGGTGTCAATTGATCTCAAACACTGAGCGGAAGCATTCATATATAAAATATCTCCATAGTCTAGTATAGGCATAAATGTAGCTGATACTAGCCTCCTTCTGGCTTCAAAAGAAAAACAGGCCTTATTCCTAAAATAAAATCCCAACTTCAGCTTCAATTTTTTTGTAAGTTGTTGAATATGCTATTTAAAAGAGAGGCTGTCATCAATTAACATTCCAAGATATTTATATGAGGTTACAACCTCAATCTCATTGCCCTGACAGGTAGTAATAGGTGAAAGGTTCAGTGGTCTGTTTCTTGCTTTAGAAAACACTATTAGTTTAGTTTTGTCAGCATTGAGGATAAGCTTCAATTGACACAAGGTATGATGAACAGTATAAAAAGTAGTTTTCAAGTTCTGGAAAGCTTTAGTGAGAGACAAGGCACAACAATAAATAACAGTATCATCAGCATAAAAGTGAAGTTGCGCATTTTGCACATTTTTGTCTTAATTATTTATATAAATAGTGAATAAGAGGGGACCAAGTACAGAGCCCTGGGGCACACCATTACAGACAGACAATTTAACAGACATGAGCCCATCAAATTGAGTGCACTGAGTTCTATCAGACAGATAGTTAGCAAACCATGCAACTGCATGCTCCGAAAGACCTACACTCGACAATCTCTGCCTCAGTATAGCATGATCAACTGTATCAAAAGCCTTAGAGAGATCAATAAAAAGTGAGACAGTGCTGTTTTTTGTCAAGGGCTTTTAAAAGTGGTAGGACAAATGCTGATTTACAGATCCTTGGAATTTCATTACATTCCAGGGTTAGACTGAACAGATATGTAAGTGGTTCAGCTATGAAATCAGCTGCCAGTTGTAAAAAGCAGGGATCAATAAGATCAGGACCTGCAGGCTTTCTCTGATCTAAGGATTTCAGGGCTTTATGTACCTCCTGCACTGAGAATGGCAAAAAGCTAAAAGTTTGACCAGCTCTCATTGGTTCATCCACACAAGGTTGTACAGAGACAGAGGATACTGAATCAAACAGCCTACCAGATGATACAAAGTGCTCATTGAAACAATTCAGCATTTCAGTTTTGTCATATACAGCAACAGAGTCCTTCAATACACATGACGGTATTTCATTAACATTACTATTACCAGACATAGACTTAATAGCCTTCCAAAACGTTCTAGGGTCATTCAGGTTATCAGTGGTAACAGACATAAAATATTCAGACTTGGTCTTCCTGAGAAGAGAAGAACACTTGTTTCGTAGCTGCCTAAAAAGAAGCCAATCAGCATCAGAACATGACTTCCTTCCTTTAGCCAAGGCTAGATTACGTTTGTGAATAATACAGTACAGCTCAGAAGAAAACCATGGATTATCCCGCCCTTTAACTCTGAACCTGTGGAATGGGGCATGTTTGTTTACTATTTGGAAAAAAAACATCATGAAAGAACTTCAAGGCAGTTTCCACATCAGGAATAAGCTCAATCTTGCTCCAGTCAAAATAAAACAAATCATGAAAGAAAGCCTGCTCATTAAAACTCTTAACATTTCTCTTACGAATAAAGCGTGGGTTTGTCTTAGGTACTTTAGTATTTCTAATAGCAACAACAGCACAATGGTCACTTAAATCATTACAGAAAACACCAACCGCAGAATATTTATGTGGAACATTTGTCAATATCTGTATATAGGATAAGTCATGACTAGAATACAGTATATACATATAAAGTGGGTAAAACAGTATGTAAACATTGACCAGTGTTCAATGCAGCGGTCTCTAAGGTGCAGGGTAACGTGTCTGTGTGTGTCTCACCTGTGCTCTGTGCTGCCCTGACCAGCCCCTGTCTCAGCACCTCCCTGACCCAGGTCTTGACTTTCTCACGCCCCTCACCCCCCACCACAGAAACCACCAGGTTGGGGGAGGGTAACCCCCAGTGGGCTGTCATCAGGGTGTACACGATCTGAGGGGGGGTGTCGCACGACAGACGCAGGAACTGATCAATAGGAAGAGAGAATGGAAGAGGTGGAGGAGGGGACAATGAGTATCGCAATAAAGTGATAATAATCAAGAGAATGTGGTGAATACTGGTGCGGCTACATAAAGTAATTGCTAATTGGTTATTTTGCCTATGGTGTAGTTAATCAGTGGCGAAGAGATATCAGTACAGGTGAGAATATTCCGTCTGACTGAGCCAATGTCGTGAGGCCTGGCAGCACTGCTAGAACACTGACTCCTCTACCATCATTCCATAGAATGCCAGACAGACGTTCTGCTGTGAAATGAATAAATATGACAGCCTCATACCTCACCTCTGCTACATCAAAGCTCTTTCTTTGTGTATATGAAAGACACTTCACTAGCAATTTACAGAGCAACCAGGCCCGACGTAAACGAGCAAGAGATTGAAATGAACTATGTTCATATTTTTATTCATTTAGTGTCAATTAATGCTTGAGTGTCATATTCGTTTCATAACTTATAGCATCTTATAACATCATGAGATTAGGTAAGTAAGTAAACCTTGGAGAATTATGCTTTGTCCGAGCCAGAATGGCCCACAGGGCAGTAGCCTCCTGTTTCTTTAGCGTGAGGCAACTTGATGTACAAGTACACCCCCTAATGCTGAGTGCCGAGCATGGGCATCAGGTCCCATTTCTTAGAGTCTTTGGTATGATCTGACAAGGGATCGAACCCCCAACCTTCCAATTTTAGGGCAGACATTCTAACCACAAAGCCACTAAAATGGTAAATCATGAGATTAGCATAAATTCAATCACTCAGTAGGTTTATGAGGTAACATACACTACATATACAAAAGTATGTTTTTTTGTATTTTTTTGTATTTTTCGTACATATTTCCCTCTCACACTTTTCATCCTTCTACAAAATATACTTTCCTGCAACCCACCTCACTCAATGTGGAACGGATTCTATTATTGACTTACCTTTTATCTAGAATCTCCAGTTGATACCAGCTAGCCAGCTAACTAGCTACTTGCTATTAGCCACCGTTACCGGTTTTCACCCAGAACATCGGATTTTCTGCCGGAATAACTGAATCACTGGACATTAACACCGGATCGCAACTAGCTAGCCGCAACCGAATTGGATGTTTCTGTTTGGCTAATCACCACTGCCCCTGAAGCAAGCACCAGTTAGCCTTGAGCCAGGCCCATATCCCGGCTATCTACCTCTCTGTCTACCGGACGGGAGTAGCCAGCTAACTAGCTACTTGCCATTAGCCACCGCTAGCGGTTTCTCACCATTGTCCGTGGCCTGCACTACCTACCAGCCAGCTCTAGCCTGGACTATTATCGGCCAGTCTGCACTGTCTGCACAGCGCGTTATCGACCCAGAACATATCGGTTTTTCTGCCGGAATCACTGATTCACTGGACCTTTAACACCGGATCCTCGTAGCTAGATAGCTGCAATCAAATGGATGTTGTTGTTGGCTAATCAGCCTCGAGCTAGCCGCGAGCCAGGCCCTTCTCCCAGCTATCTACCTCTGTCAACCGGACGGGACCTCCTAGTGTTGACACGATGCCCCGCCGATCCAACACGGCTGGTCTGCCGACGAAATCGTCTGATGCGATTACAACAGGTTTCCCGTTACGACGTCGACCACAAAGATCCATCTGCTAGCCCCGGCCCGCTAGCACACACTAGCTGTGGCCTCTTGCTCGCCAGTACTATAACAGCCCCCGAACTACCTCCGAACTCTCCTATTGCTGTTCACCGAACCTTATGATAACTCAGCTATACAGCTGATGCCTGCTGGACTGTTCCTTTATACGGTAACGCATCCTGTTTATGTTTAGCCTCAGCCCAAACTTTGTCGCCATTATGAGCTGTTGTCTTAGCTCTCTCGAATAACACCTGTGATTGCTTTATGCCTCTCTCCCATGTCAATATGCCTTGCTTATTGCTGTTTCGGTTATTTCTTATTGTACTATTTCACTGTAGATCCCCCAGCCCAGCTCAACCTGCCATAGATAGCTCCTTTGTCCCACCCCCCACACACGCGGAGACCGACTCAATCGGTGCCTCCAGTGATGCTATCTCTTTCATCGTTACCCAACGCTTAGGTTTACCTCCACTGTACTCATATCCTTCCATATCCTTTTCTGTACATAATGCCCTGGATCTATTCTACAACGGCCGGAAACCTGCCCCTTTTATTCTCTGTACCCAACGCACTAGAAGACCAATACTTAAAGCCTTTAGCCGTATCCTTATTCTACTCCTCCTCCGTTCCTCTGGTGATGTAGAGGTTAACCCAGGCCCTGTAGCCCCTAGTATCACTCCTACTCCCCAGGCGTTATCATTTGTTGACTTCTGTAACCGTAAAAGCATTGGTTTCATGCACGTTAACATCCGAAGCCTCCTCCCTAAGTTTGAGTTATTCACTGCGTTAGCACACTCTGCCAACCCTGATGTCATAGCAGTGTCTGAATCCTGGTTTAGGAAGGCCACCAAAAATTCAGAAATGTCCATCCCCAACTACAACATTTTCCATCTCGATAGAACTGCCAAAGGGGGTGGGGTTGCAATCTACTGTAGAGAGCTCTATCGTACTATCCAGGTCTGTGCCCAAACAGTTTGAGCTTCTACTTCTAAAAATCCACCTTTCCAGAAATTAGTCTCTCACTGTTGCCGCTTGCTACAGACCCCCCTCAGCCCTGAGCTGTGCCCTGGACACCATATGTGAACTGATTGCCCCCCATCTATCCTCAGAGTTCGTACTGCTTGGTGACCTAAACTGGCATATGCTTAACACCCTGGCCAACCTACAATCTAAACTACATGCCCTCAATCTCACAAAAACTATCAACGAACCTACCTGGTACAACCCTAAATCTGTAAACATGGGCACCCTCATAGATATCATCCTGACAAATTTACCCTCTAAATACACCTCCGCTGTCTTCAACCAGGATCTCAGCGATCACTGCCTTATTGCCTGTGTCCATAATGGGTCCGCGGTCAAACAACCACCCCTCATCACTGTCAAACGCTCCCTAAAACACTTTAGCGAGCAGGCCTTTCTAATTGACCTGGCCCGGGTAATCTGGATGGATATTGACCTCATTCCGTCAGTAGAGGATGCCTGGTTGTTCTTTAAAAGTGCTTTCCTCTCAATCTTAAATAAGCATGCCCCATTCAAAAATTTCAGAACTAAGAACAGATATAGCCCCTGGTTCTCCTCAGACTTGACTGCCCTTGACCAGCACAAAAACATCCTGTGGCGTACTGCATTAGCATCGAACAGCCCCCGCGATATGCAACTTTTCAGGGAAGTCAGGAACCAATATACACAATCAGTTAGGAAAGCAAAGGCTAGCTTTTTCAAACAGAAATTTGCATCCTGTAGCACTAACTCCAAAAAGTTTTGGGACACTGTAAAGTCCATGGAAAATAAGAGCACCTCCTCCCAACTGCCCACTGCACTGAGGCTAGGAGACACTGTCACCACCGATAAATCTACAATAATCGAGAATTTCAACAAGCATTTTGCTACGGCTAGCCATGCTTTCCACCTGGCTACCACTACCCCGGCCACCAGCTCTGCACCCTCCGCTGCAACTTGCCCATGCCCCCCCCCCGGCTGCCCCGGTCAACTGTAAGTGCTGTTATTGTATAGTGGAAACGTCTAGGAGCAACAACGGCTCAGCCTTGAAGTGGTAAGCCACACAAGCTCACAGAATGGGACCGCCGAGTGCTGAAGCGCGTAAAAATCGTCTGTCCTCGGTTGCAACACTCACTACCGAGTTCCAAACTGCCTCTGGAAACAGCCGCACACAAGCCTATGATCACCATGCGCAATGCCAAGTGTCGGCTGGAGTGGTGTAAAGCTCGCCGCCATTGGACTCTGGAGCGGTGGAAACACGTTATCTGGAGTGATGAATCACGCTTCACCATCTGGCAGTCCGACGATCTGGGTTTGGAGGATGCCAGGAGAACGCTACCTGCCCCAATGCATAGTGCCCACTATAAAGTTTGGTGGAGGAGGAATAATGGTCTGGGGCTGTACAGAGAAATGGTTTGTCGAGATCGGTGTTGAAGAACTTGACTGGCCTGCACAGAGCCCTGACCTCAACCCCATCGAACACCTTTGGGATGAATTGGAAAGCCGACTGCGAGCCAGGCCTAATCGCCCAACATCAAAGAAGGGACCAACTCCATGTTAATGCCCATGATTTTGGAATGAGATGTTTGACTAGAATGTGTCCACATACTTTTGGTCATGTAGTGTAGCTGAGTCACTTGATGGTTATGAGTTGACGGGCTGTAAGCCAGCTACCTAATTCATTAATCACCCACCCTCCCGCCACTGACAGAGCTGTGTGTGTGTGTCCTAGTGTTATTTATACTTTAGTAATACCCTGGGCTGATTGATTGAGCGCTGGACACGGCTGAGTAAACATACACTGTCCTATGAGGTCATCAACCTGGGACAGAGAACAATCCCGTGTATGTCTTAGCATGTGTATGTCCTAGCATGCCCATGCATGAGTGTGTGCACACGTGTTAGTGTGTGTTACCCACATGGCTGTGCCTACTGCCGGCCCCTGCAAACTCCAACTCTCCGAAGGCGTCGGTGGGGTACTCTGAGGAGTGCTGAGAGCTGTCCCACTGGCTGACGATGGCTGCCCCGAAATAGTCTCTCGTAGCGATGGAGCCGTGCGTTTCACTCACACCCCCACACTGGCACAGTGCCCCATTACTGACAGGGGCAGAGAGAGACAAAGACACACATACACACACACACATACACAGCCAGTCATTACAGTCAACAGAAAATACCCAAAATCAAAAACACAGACCACAGACGGCGACCCAGGGAGGGGCTGTACCTAAAGCAGTCCTCTATGAATGTGGTGCACACTCTCTTCTTGATTATCTTGGGGATCCAACTCTGTGAGGGAAAGAAATTGGGTAACTATTAGTCGCTGTTACCTAACAGGCTACAGATGTTGAATGTTATGCTAAACTGGATGTACACTGTATGGTTGTAATTACAGTTCTTTTTATCGTTTTGGTGCAATTTTCATAAGTACTGTATGGGTACATTTTCACAACTCTTAGTACAAAACTCAAACAGATCATCAAAAATGTGTTTCACACAAAATCATACAGTCACTTTTTCACCAAACTTAATCAGTGTTTCATCTAGAAATATATGTTTCACATTGCAATAAATGTTCATATAAAATAATGTCCTTTCACAATGCAATGCTCACATTACTTTTGATATGAGTCTCTTCTCTTTTGTTAAAATAGGTTTTACTATTACTTAATCCGACTGTTCTTAATTGATTATCCCTTAAACGTTTGGTAAACCTATAGATTCTATAGATTTTGATAACTACATAATTAAAATCTGTCTGTAAAGTAGGAACATAAAAAGTATGTTATTTATATATACACTCAAATGTACTACTATGATGATGACTATTATGATTTTACTTCACAATAAGTTTTTAATATTGACAAGTTCAGAGATGATGGGGCGGGGGTCACACTGCTTTAATAAAATTGCATTGGCAGCCAGTACAGTACTGTAATACCGTAATATATACCATTTACATAGCAGTGACAACAGTCCACACAATTTGGTATGTGACCCCAGTCGGAATCGAACCCACAACTCTGGTGTTGCTAGTGCCATGAACTGAGCCATGTACAGGTCCACTACAATACATATACTGAGTGTACAAAACATTAGGTGCGCCTGGCACCTACTACCATACCCTGTTCAAAGGTACTTAAATATTTTGTCTTGCCCAATTCACCTTCGGAATGGCACACATATACAATAAATGTCTCAATGTTTAAAAATCCTTCTTTAGAGATGAGATACGGAGAGATGTTAAAATATAAATGTTGGTCAAGTTGCGCTGTTTCCCACACACAGCTGTGCAGGCCGAGTGTGTCCCTATAGTACACGGACACATCCCGGATTAAGTTCAGAATGACACAATTTAATGTATACAACATCTAAAGACCTACATCACTATACTGATAGCGTGTCCGTTTCTAAAATGACATATTTTAGAGCTTTTGTTCATGTCTTTTGCGTGCCCTGATACTACACAACGAGCAATAAGGAAGTGAATCGTGGCTGGGGTTAAATTTCTCAAAAGGAAGCCAAATCACACAAAAAGTGTCTGGACCCTTCTATAACATGTAATTTACATAAAAACTAGAGATTTACTTCAGAAATTGGACAATTCTAATGTAATTCCCATTGACTGGTCGTGGTTTTTCAGATGCCTTAACAATACAGTTTGCAGGTCCATCTGAACCCTGATATTATGACATAACCACCATTCCTGGACCTGACTCCAAAAGCGAGACACCGATGGACAGTACCAGAAAATAAGCTCTATTGATTCTATTTCCTCGTGGCAGAGTCTGCACAAGGCTGACTGTTCAATGCCCCATATATTGAGCATTATTTTTGTAGCAATATTTTATATGATAGCTTAAATTGAAACGAACGGATTGATGTGTCAATTGTTGTTTTATATATCAGTTCATAGACCCGATGCCAAGGTATTGGGACATCAAAGACCGGTTCCAGACAAACCAAAATTGTATACAGCATTGCTGTCAAACCTTTTGACTAAGTGAAACTGATACATGTTTTAATTTATACTAATAATTTGAAGCCATTTATGATTTTTTATGGGTGGCAGACAGACTAATTCTTTCATTTCTTCTTTAAGTAATTGTCTCTTCCAATTTTGTGGTAGAGCAGTGATGAGTTGGTTATAATTTTGAATTGAGCATACACCTCCATACACTGTTGTTAGTTGCTTGTGACATAATTTTACCATCCTTGTTTACAATGTCCTTCATAAATATTATACCCTTCTTGTACATTTCTTCCAATATTTTTGTTTTCTCTATCAGTACATTGGAGTTTAGCCATATTATTTGCTGTACTATTAGATCTTCCTTTTCTGGAGGATGAAACTGAAATTGTAGGCAATGTTACATGACTTCATTTAAAAAGGAGGATACATTAAACAGAGATCCATTGTCAATCCACAAAGGTAAAGAGCCCACTCTTAAACAGGATGGGTCTCTCTTAATTGCCTGCTAGAAAACCAGTTTGGATTTTGATGCAATTTCAGTACAATGGAGGCTTTAAGAGAGAGGTTTAATGCCTTAATATTTAATAGTTTTAACCCTCCAAACTCCTTTTCATTTTATAAATATGCTCGTTTAACTTTACCTGGTTTACCATTCCAAATATAGTAACATTGTAAATGGTTTATTGTGTCAAAATCGGAATCTGTATTTTTTTCAGAATTTGGATGAAAAGATTGCATCGCAGTTGCTGAGAGAAATTATGTAAATTGAATCTTGTGTAGTATAGCTTTGTAAACAAAAAGGGAATAGTGAAATGATCTACAGGACTTTCATGAGGACCAGACAACCTTTTGATACAGGATGCACTGATGAGTATTAAAACTGTCACCTGTGATAAAGCAAAGGGCGCTATGGTAGACAGCATCCAAAGGGTTAAGAGTAGTAGTCCCCATAATCAAGAACTGGCAGTTAAGTTGACTGTACAATCTGCTTCCTGCTGTTTAGGTAGAGGCAAGATCTCGTTCTAAAAAAAGAAGTCTGCTTTTTAACTATACTGAACAAAAATATAAATGCAACATGCAACAATTTCTAAGATTTTACTGAGTTAGGGTTCATATAAGGAAATCAGTAAATTGAAATAAATTCATTAGGCCCTAATCTATGGATTTCAAACGACTGGGCAGGGGCGCAGCCATTGGTGGGCCTGGGAGGGCATAGGTCCACCTACTTGGGAGCCAGGCCCAGCAAATCAGAATGAGTTTTTCCCCTCAAAAGGGCTTTATTACAGACAGAAATACTCCTGTTTCATCAGCTGTCCAGGTGGCTTGTCTCAGACGATCCCACAGGTGAAGAAGCCGGATGTGGAGGTCCTGGGCTGGCGTGGTTACAAGTGGTCTGCGGTTGTCAGGCTGGTTGGACGTACTGCCAAATCCTCTGGCTTATGGTAGAAAAATGAACATTCCATTTTCTGGCAAACAGCTCTGGTAGACATTCCTGCAGTCAGCATGCCAATTGCATGCTCCATCAAAACTTGAGACATCTGTGGCCTTGTGTTGTGTGACAAAACTGCACATTTCAGAGTGGCCTTTTATTGTCCCCTGCACAAGGTGCACCTGTGTAATGATCACGCTGTTTAAACAGCTTCTTAATATGCCACACCTGTCAGTTGGATGGATTATCTTGGCAAAGGAGAAATGCTCACTAACAGGGATGTAAACAAATTTGTGCACAACATTTGAGAGAAATACGCTTTTTGTGCGTATGGAACATTTATGGGATCTTTTATTTCAGCTCATGAAACATGGGACCAACACTTTAAACATGAAATCTTTGTCAATCCAAATGCTCAGATATTTATAGGCGGGAACCCGATCGATGGGAGCCCATCCAATGAATAAATAGGTAGTCCATCTGAAACATGTATTTAGTCTTTCCCGCATTATGTACAAGTTTTAAACCAACCAGGGATTTCTGTAAGGCAACAAGGTTAGATTGCAGCTCTAACATAGCCTGGTCAACAGTTGGGGAAATGGCATACATAAGTGTCATCTGCATACAGAGGAATATTACAAGTTTTAACAAATAGACCAATATTATTTATAACATTTATAAATAGTAAAGAGGACAGGTCCCAATACCGATCCCTGCGGTATACCTTTGGTAATATCCAGGGGCCTCATTTATCAAAATTGCGTAGACACTATTCTAAAACACTAACGGTAGCTAACTCCGTTCCGTACATATGTGGGCAACCGCTGCATTCAAACGAGGCTGCAATGAAAACTAATGGGACTGTAGCGACTGTGTTGGCATCAAAATCCAGGGTGTGAACTAAGTTTCAATTCAGCGTTGATTGACATGGTAATGGACCAATTGTATTGGAGAAAAGTTGAAGAAACTAACCCTGCTGACACTCTACGTTAAAGTGTGACATGTCACGACGTAACGTACGGCAGGCATTATTCAACTCATTCTGTGCCGTACAGCCTCTTTCCACCAGGTGTAGCGCTTCTCTCGCAGATTAAAAACAAGAAATGATCAATGGTGAGTGTAATGGTGAGTGTAAAGTTAATTACTCGTGAGTTCATCAATAGTTAATTAATTCAATTGTTAATTTTTCGCATAATCACTGCGAGCCATCATGACTCTCAAAACCCGTGACAACCACAGTTTAATTGTGAAGATAAATCTAGCGCTGCCCTAAAATACCTATTCAAATTCGACACAAACCTTCAAATAGGTATGTAATGAGACTTTATATAAACTCTTTATAGTGTTTTATTTACATTTTAGAGGTGATAAGTTGGACAAATCGGGTGAAATTAGCCAGTTCCCCACACTATGACGCAGCAGCTTTCGCTTCCCCACCCCCCATTTTTAAAAAGACCCTGCGGAGCTCCATTGCTTTCTTCGATCATGCAGAGACGGGCAGCATGAAAGTCTCGTCATTTACTTTGCTGGAAAGGGGAGACATTGTGCTTTACAATGGTATTCATATTACAGTTGACCTGGAAGTATTACGTTTTTGGGGCACTAAAATAAGGTCAAATGTACAGAACAGTGCGATGTACAAAAGTGTGTTAGCTACCGTTACTTACAAACAGAATTTAGAATGTTCATATGCATAGAAAAGTGTGATTTATCAAACAATCCTACACACGTTATACGCACACTGGTAGGAGATAAACATTGATAAATACCAATTGTTATCAGTCTCAGTGCTCGTGCACGACCTTGGCTATTTGCATTTCGAAACTCCCCTAATGAACCACAGATGGTCAGAATCATCCCTGTGTGTGTGCGTGTTTGTGTATATACCCATTGTGTGTTTGTGAGTGTATGCCTGTGTGCATGAGCACTGTGTCCTTACAGCACATTACAACTAGGATTTTGTACTGTTGTATGGACAAGAATGTACTGTGGGATACTGTAAGTGTCAGGTAAAAAAACTTGTATGTAACTGGTAGAACCTGACTAGCAGTAGCTGCTGAAAGGGGATTGACATTCTATTCAGAACTCATATCCTTCATTCCCATTGACCTGCAACCCAGTACCTGTCATAGCATGGTCAGTGCATATAGAAATGATATATCAATTGTGGTGGAACTGCATTAAGACGGCTAGCTGCTATCGTATTCTCTCTGTCTCTCACACACACGCACACACTCTCCATGCAAATATTGAGCCAGTCCACTCAAGCGCCACTATTCAACAGAGTACATTAGAGATAGAGACAGGAGAGGCAAATGAGTGGACAAGCTAAAGGTATCACAAGACAAGTGCAATACCTTTTCTTTCACTGTCTTTGTATTTTCTCTCTTGAACGCTCTTGTCCAGCCTTCAATCACTTATCTCTCCTTTGTTTATTTTTCTCAGATCAATGGCAGTTGTGCATAGTGCATACAGATATAGGATCTTAATTTGAGCCAGTTTCCTACAGCAGGAAAATATTCCTGAGGCAACAGGAAATGTGAATTATTATGTGGGTTATATTCAATGGACATTTTTGTAGAGGTTGATAAAATTCTAAGGGAAAATCAAGTCTGACATTTCAAAGTGGAAGCCTTTTTAAACCTCAAATACACACAACAAATTGTTAATTTCCTGCATTGCACGACAGTTATCCTGCAACAGGGTGATCAAATTAAGATCCTACAACTGTACCAGCATGTGGGCTATCATGCCTTATCTTTTGTGACAGATTATGGTATCATTTTAATTCCTAAGTTTAGTTTGTTAGAGGCTGCATACTTATGTATGTCAAGAGGCCAGAGGGCCCTACAAGTCATGTTTTTACTACTTTGTTTGTCGGACAGTTCCAGCTGCTGTGCAGCTTAAATGAGTTGTGTGTCCGACTGCTCTTGTCCTGTCAGTTCATGCCTGAGAAAGATGGACTAGCCTGCTCTGGCGGCTTGAGACGCGCATGGCACAGGAGCGGTCTGTTTTTACAACAACACTGATGGTCATTCTCCCGTCATTGCCACTCAGAAAATAGGCGAACATCGACACAGAAATACAATAAAGTAAAAAATCTGGTTTAACATTACATTTTACGAACCCACAACCCTGGCGTTGCAAACGCCATGCTCTACCAACTGAGCTACATCCCTGCCGGCCAGTCCCTCCCCTACCCTGGACAACGCTGGTCCAATTGTGCGCCACCCCATGGGTCTCCCGGTCGCGGCCAGCTACGACAGAGCCTGGATTCGAACCAGGATCTCTAGTGGCACAGCTAGCACTGCGATGCAGTGCCTTAGACCACTGCGCCACTCGTAGGTCTATACCTAGGGCTAGGCCTGTAGGCATTTATCCAGCAGAAGACTAAACTGATGGTCTGTAAGTAACTGTCACAAGGATTGATAATTCACCACATAAATAAATAAAAAATAAATTTAAAAAATGAACCAGCACTTGCACTTTACTACTTTTTGCTAACATACTTAGAAAGTTACCCTAACTAATGGGGCAGCAGTCTAAGGCACTGCATCTCAGTGCTTGAGGCGTCACTACAGACCCCCTGGTTCCATTCCAGGCTGTATCACAACCGGCCATGATTGGGAGTCCCATAGGGCAGCGCACAATTGGCCCAGCGTCGTCCGGGTTTGGCCAGTGTAGGCCGTCATTGTAAATAAGAATTTGTTCTTAACTGACTTGCCTAGTTAAATAAAGGTTAAATAAAAATAAATAAAAAATGGAAAACTGGACACTCAAACATCTGGGGAACATTACAAAAATGTTCTCTCTCCCTAGAATTGTTAGCTGGGTAGTCTGGTTGGAAACTTTCAAAGTGGGCACACTTTCGTATTGGATATCACTCTCCCAACTAGTCTATGTTGTTTTGCATGTCTGTTTTGACAATTGATGGGCGTCAACTTGTTCCATATGGCTGCGTAATCCCACTTGGGTCAAGCTGCCACAGTAGCCTACTGCAATTTTACCCCTAAATGTTTTTATTTTTATTTGATTTAACCTTTATTTTATCAGGGAGTCATACTGTGACCAATGTCTCTTTTACAAATGAGCCCTGAATTGCATCAATTACAGAAAATACACACATTCAAAGATAAATACAATATGCAAGCAGAAAGAAAAACATGGTCATAAAACACAAACATATTAATCAGTAATAAGGTCCTCAATCAGCTTTCTAAATTGCCCTAGAGGCACCAAAACATCATATTTAAGAACATTTTGAAGATTGTTCCACATATAAGGTGCAAGAAAACTAAAAGCTGATTTACCTAACTCAGTAGAAACCAAAGGAATTTCCAGAGTTAGCCATCCCTGAGTGGTAACTCGTATGTCTAAAGTTTAGTAATGATGTTAGGTACAGTGGGACTTTTTGTAAAAGGGCTTTACAAATGAAAACACTGCAATATATCAACCTACGTGACATCAAAGAGGGCCAAACAATTTTCTGTTAGAGAATGCTGGTCTCAGAGATGGGTGGCCTAGCGGTTAAGAGCGTTGGGCCAGTAACCGAAAGGTTGCTGGTTTGAATCCCGTAGGTGAGAAATCTCTCTGTGTCCTTGAGCAAGGCACTTAACCCTGATTGCTCTGGATACGAGCTTCTACAAAAATTAATGCAGTGATGAGTACTAAAATTGTCACCAGTGATAAACTGCATCTAACGTCTTTAATGAAGTGGCAGCTGCGTTCATATAGATGATGTTGCCTTAGTCTAGGACAAATAGGAACGTCGACTGAATAATCTGCTTTCTACTATTTAGCGAGAGGACCCATTTCTATAGAAGCCCATTTTTATTCTCAGCTTCTTAACTAACTCATCAATATGCTTTTTAAAAGACAGCTTTTCATCTATCCAGATTTTGTAAGCAGGGACACGATCAATATGGACACCATCTAAAGTACATATGCTTAAATCATCAGACTTATTTTTATGCGCTCTAGAGAACAACATATACTTAGTTTTACCTGCATTCAGTACTAATTTCAGGTCAATAAAGTTTTTTCTGTAATACATTGAAGGCAGACTGTAGTTCAGGTAGAGCCTGGTCAACTGTGGGGTCAATTGCATACACAACAGTATCATCGGCATACAAGTGCAGGTTACAATGTTTTACAGACAAGTCGATATTGTTAACGTAAACAGTAAAAAGTACAGGACCCAGAATCGACCCCTGTGGGACACCTTTCGTAATACCCAGGAAACCTGATTTAACACCATTAGTAGATATACATTGAGTTCTATCTGTCAAGTAATTTTTAAACCAGTTACATGCAGCCTGGTATAGGGCCAATTGAGGAAAGCCTTTCAATTAGCAGTGAGTGATCAACAGTATCGAAAGCCTTTGACATGTCAATGAAGAAGGCAGTACAATGTTACCTTTTATCCATACAGTGAACCACATCATTTATAACTAGGGATGCAGCAGAGATAGTGTTATGACCTGGTCTAAAACCCGACTGATGTACATTTAGAATGCATTTCAAAGATAAGAAAAGTAAATTTTTCTTTTGGCAAACTTTTGTATTATATTATAAAAGTAACACTATACCGCTGCTTTCAGTTAAACATTTAACACAGAATCGCTTGGTGCATAGCCTACTGTACCATTTACGCACGATTTTGGCATACACTACCCAAAAAGACACGGGCTATTTAATATGCGGAATTGCGTGATAACTCAGTAAGGTACAAGTGTTTATAATAGATGAGCCAAACCTGATCTTTATCGGATTTTCTTGTTCCCGTTCTCCCTCTGCCTCCTTCATGCTCTTTATCCGTATCCTTCATTACGCACTCTATCCCCTCTCTCCTCTTCTCAGGCAAGCGGCTAAAATAATTCTCGAATAGGTGCGAAGCCGAGACAGAAACAGCTAAAACCCAATGTTGATGTTTGAAGTTCACCGCTGGATGTGCAATGCAGACAGAGCGATGTAAATATATTTGGAGTAGCCGCCTCAGGCTGCGCTGCGCTCCGCCCACAACCAGTCACAAGGATCTATCTCAATAAGTTTATATAGCTCGATGGTGCTGTGTTTAGATAGACCTATAGCCGAGCCCACCTGCAAGTAAGATGTACAGTATGTTCGAGGCACGGTGTAGAAATGGTAGGGCCTATGATAGAGAGCAGGGGAATGGGAGGAGGCCAAAAGGGTTAGGCTACAAGGGAAGGGCGGGCATGTAGGAAAGAATGGCCAGTGTCCGGCCTCCGGTGCGTCTCGAGTGCATTGCATTGCCTCGTGGATTCTGTTTTTCCCATCTTTGGAATAACAATCAAACAAATAAACCTTTGTTTAACATTGTTTGTGTTCAATCATGGCGCAACCATTTTCTGGGGAAGTCCTGGGATATACCTCGGGACAGTGTGTCACGGTGTGTCACCGACCTCACCCAGCATAAAAGCAACAATTCAGGTCATGTTTGATTGCATTTTCTCATAGGTCTACTGGCCAGGAAGCCTAGTTTTGAATAAATTAGGCTACCCATCATGTCCAGAAAGCATAAATTGATTCCAGGATGCTACATTAATAAATTACAAGGTGTAAATTATTTGGAAGAAGCCTTTAGACTGTTACCATTTGAATGTGGCCAATTTATTAAACACATGTTTAATTATAAACTAACCTAAATGTATTCATCTGACCAAAAGGGGGAGTTCAGCTACATCCCTGAACAGTTAGGCTTATAGGATATTTGAAAACTTGCAGGTGGGCAAACTGTAGTGTTCTGTAGTGCTTAGACCTACAGTGGAGAGAAGACACACAACTTTTTTCTCACATCAACACATCAATGTTAATTGATTTTAGAAGGGATATGGCAAACTGGAATCATGAATCAGCATTGAAACTGGAGTAGGCCTCCAACTGGGCACAAACTGGTTGAATCAACATTGTTTCAATGTAATTTGTCAACATATTATGATGTGGAATCTACTTGGAAATTACATTGGATTTGAAAAATGTAGTCAACCCTTTGGAATGACTTCGTTTTGAGGGTGGAATTTCAACCACAGGATTATGTCATCGTTGTAACACATTTTCAACATAGACAAACCTTTTATAAATGTTTAATTTATACATTTGAAACAATGTCAGATCTTCAAAGTTATATCCACTATCAGAAGAAAAAAAACAATAGGCTGGGCAGCACCTCCTACTGGAGAGTTGATCTATCTACAGCTATTCATTTGGTCTCCCATCCAGGGTTTTAACCAAGCCCAGCTTTGATATTTGTCACTGACTACTACCAATGTGCTATCGTGAGAATGATTATTGAGAGATCTCTTAATAACAAAATATATTCACTGTTGCTATCAAAGTCATTCCAAAGAGTAGGTTTAACAGACCAAATGAAATGTAACCATAGTTTATGTCATATATCATCAATTATACTATTTAGGCCTATATAGTATTTGCAAAGTCATCAACAGCTTTTGTTTCAATTCAACCCAGGGTTCAACTAAAAATAAACAATAGGAGTTAAAGGCCTAGTGTTTCAAGCTTTGGTTGATTTCAAATTGAATCTTCAAGTTAATCATTAATATGATAGATTCACATTCAATATGTAGATTCACTTCTCAAAATCAGCCAAACATCAAAGTTAAAGTATAGGACTAAATCGAATCAAACTTTATGTAAAATGCATTTAAAGTGGATATTGAATTGTGTTTGGTTGTCAACGCAACCAAATATCAACATTTGAAGGAGATGTATCTTCTGCTTGGATAGTTTCATCTGTGCCACTGACTTAGTCTGGCTTTAATTCCAGTTTGTCTACAAATTAATCATTGATAGAGTGGGGGAAAAAAGTATTTAGTCAGCCACCAATTGTGCAAGTTCTCCCACTTAAAAAGATGAGAGAGGCCTGTAATTTTCATCATAGGTACACGTCAACTATGACAGACAAATTGAGATTTTTTTTCTCCAGAAAATCACATTGTAGGATTTTTAATGAATTTATTTGCAAATAATGGTGGAAAATAAGTATTTGGTCACCTACAAACAAGCAAGATTTCTGGCTCTCACAGACCTGTAACTTCTTCTTTAAGAGGCTCCTCTGTCCTCCACTCGTTACCTGTATTAATGGCACCTGTTTGAACTTGTTATCAGTATAAAAGACACCTTGTTTTCATGGGCTGGGTTCCTACCTTTCTTTATCAAACAGGGTCAATGTTGGGTGGGAACTCAGGCATCCTCTATTGTTAGTCCCTAACTCCGGCCTGGTTCCATTTCGGTTCTCAGCCCCTTACCTTGGCGCCTCGCTCTCAAGCCTTTTCTGTGTTCACAGATCTGATAGGACTGGATAGGTGAAAGCAATGCGATGGGAACTCCACAGCCTTTTGGAAGACGAGGTGGGATCCGCTCCGTATATCTTAAATTGATCAAGTCCTCTAGCTCAGATCTGTGAACACTGAAGGGGGTTGGCACTAAGGGAAGGGGATAGGGACTGAAAGGGAACTGGGTCTTAGTCATGTCTTGGGGACCCATGTGGAGTTGTGTTATTTCCTGAACTCACAGTACAAATAAAAGGTTCATTTTCCATTTCCAGTCCATACACAATTGTTGTAGTTATTCCCAGGAGAACAACCATCACGTACTGTAATGCAATGTGTGTTGTGCTGAATCAGAGGGAATGTGTGTGCGTTTGTCCGTGTGTGTTTGTGTGTATTGAAGAACCTTCCTATCACATTTCCAAGGGAAAAGGTTTGGTGTTTTATCAGCTGCCATCTAGTCTCCCCTGACCCATAGCGTAGCACACAAACATCCTGTCATTACAACTACCGGTGTGTGTTTGCTTGTGTGTGTATATGTGTGTGTGTGAGCTCTGCAGGCTCTGGGAGGAGGCAACATAAAGACAGGAAACTGTAGCCCTGCATTCTGACAACTCAGGAAACCCACTTCCTGCCCGTCATGACTAAGAAAGGCTTGGTGTAAAAACTGAAAGGATCTGGATGACCTCTACTAAACACTATCTACTGACTCAGGGACGTGTGAAGGACCACAGGGATGTCAGGGTAATGGGGTTGTATTGTCACCACACAACAACATTTTGGGTACTTTTACAACATGGTGTATGCTTTATTATTTTATGCACACAGTGACATGGAAACAACTTCTTTGTTGCTAGCTCTGCTCCCATGTGTCCATTTCCCTCTTTTATCAGATTAGCCACGCCCAGTAGGCGGGTACCAGCAAGGTAATTAAGGGGACACATGGGAGCAGCGATTGGCATGTTTGCCTTATTAAAGTAGGTCTTAAATCCTTGCAAGAATTATACGTTTTTTTTTTTTTGGGGGGGGGGGGCGATATCTGATGAGCCAATCTATACTTTCCGCAGAAAAAGTCCCACCTGTCTCTAAAAACGCACTCTCTGTGAAATGCATCATGTGCCAAATCTTCAAACAGAGCAAGATCAGCCATCTCTCATTCGATTTCCCATTATCTCAGTCTTTTATAGTATTTCAACAATGGTTTCACTTTCACACGTACCTCTAATTTAACAAATGACTGTACTTTATATGGATTATTCACTGATGTGGTGAAATTCACAATGGAAATACAATGAAATCTTAAAATGATTTAATTATTACTCTCACAATTTCACACATTTTCAACATACATACTTCGGAAAGTATTCAGACCCCTTGACTTTTTCCACATTTTGTTACATTACAGCCTTAAATTGAGTTTAAAAAATGATATCCTCAGCAATCTACACACAATACCTCATAATGACAAAGCGAAAACAGGTTTGTAGAATCTTTTGCAAATGTAAAAAATAAAAATACAACTGAAATACCTTATTTACATAAGTATTCAGACCCTTTGCTATGAGACTCGAAATTGAGCTCAGGTGCATCCGGTTTCCATTGATCATCCTTGAGATGTTTCTACAAATTGATTGGAGTCCGCCTGTGGTAAATTCAATTGATTGGACTTGATTTGGAAAGGCACACAGCTGTCTATATAAGGTCCCACAGTTGACAGTGCATGTCAGAGGAAAAACCAAGCCATGAGGTCAAAGTAATTGTCCGTACAGCTCCGAGACAGGATTGTGTCGTGACACAGAAGTTTGGAACCACCAAGACTCTTCCTAGAGCTGGCTGCCTGGCCAAACTGAGCAATCGGTGGAGAAGGGCCTTGGTCAGGGAGGTGACCAAGAACCTGATGGTCACTCTGACAGACCTCTAGAGCTCCTCTGTGGAGAAGGACAACCATCACTGCAGCACTCCACCAATCAGGCCTTTATGGTAGAGTGGCCAGACGGAAGCCACTCCTCAGTAAAAGGCACATGACAGCCCGCTTGGAGTTTGCCAAAAGGCACCTAAAGGACTCTCGGGCCATGAGAAACAAGATTCTCTGGTCTGATGAAACCAAGATTGAACTCTTTGGCCTGAATGCCAAGTGTCACGTCTGGAGGAAACCTGGCACCATTCCTACGGTGAAGCATGGTGGTGGCAGCAGCATGCTGTGGGGATGTTTTTCAGCGGCAGGGACTGAGAGACTAGTCAGGATAGAGGGAAAGAACAGAGCAAAGTAGAGAGATCCTTGATGAAAACCTGCTCCAGAGCGCTCAGGACTTCAGACTGGGGCGAAGGTTCACCATCCAACCTGACATAGCTTGAGAGGATCTGCAGAGAAGAATGGGAGAAACTCCCCAAATACAGGTGTGCCAAGCTTGTAGAATCATACCCAAGAAGACTCTGTAATCGCTGCCAAAGGTGCTTCAACAAAGTACTGAGTAAAGGGTCTGAACACTTATGTAAATAAAATATTTCAGTTTTTTAATTGTAATACATTTACAAAAATGTCTAAACAGTTTTTGCTTCGT